ACAATTCGCTTTCTTGCTATTGCGCGCAGAGATAACGAAAACCATGATCTTCGATCGAACAGAATCCGTGATCTAAATTTTTTTTTTTTTCTAATTTCAAGTTACGCATTTTAAAAAGTGATTCGCTTAGCGGAGTGTGGGGTGTATTTAATTTTAAGCACGTGTTTCCCAGAATTATGTCGATGAGTGAAATGACAAAGTCCACCGAATGAACTATGAATTTTCATTTAAGAGTTTCCGGTTTGATCCGCCAGCTGTCGCGATGGCATTGTTTTCAAACAAAATACCCCATTTAGGAAATATGAAATAAATGAAAGGACACTTTAATTCATGACTAAATATACATATGACACTTGACACCTGGCTAAACGAAAGTTTTTCCTTTCAAACGCGCCCTTCTAAGCCATGATCATGACCAAACGATTATTTTTGGCCCTTTTTTTTTCAGTTCGGATTTTTTCTTATCGCTAGTTTCATTTATTAGCTGCTAAGAAAACCGTTCTTTTGAACGTAAATAGTAATCAGGAATTGGACAAAAGAGAATCTTAATATTGTCTGGGTTTTGAATTATAATAATAATAATAATAATAATAATAATAATGATGATGATGATTTTTTAGGCTGTATTTCTTGGAAAATCCCAGCAATTTGCGGGGAAATGGACAGTTCTAAGATTCTTTGATGTAACTGAAACGTGAGGGATGGAGCTTAGCAATGATTTCTTGGAATTTGGTGTGTAGCATGTATGGGAAGTTGTTCGATCACTACATTCCTGTCGGGGTTAACATGAAGCATTTATGATAAAAGAAAGCTTTGAACCGTGTTGCGACAGGTACATTATGATATTCAACCAAAATATATTAAATGAGTCAGCAAATTGGGATGCAAACGGCGACCCAGTTTAATCATAAGCATTTCCAAAACTGATCAGAGAGTGTCATTAAACACACACAGAGACGGAAATCGGAAAATGCAAGAACGTGAGACACAGCAAGCCAAAATAATCAACACACGCCCGGGAAGTAACTACCCCACATGACAGCATGAGTTTGAAATCCAAACTAATCACGATGAGTTTGCCATCTCACAGCTCAGAGTCAAACATTCCGTCACGCCCATAAAGAGCATGATCATTCAATGTGTCTTTCGTTCTTTGAATTGCTTGTCTGTGACATAATGCGAGCTGAAAATAGTCTTTCTGATCAGCCGAGTGTTGAGAATCCCTTTATTCTAGTTACGTTTCAATCGTTAGCGAGCTCCGGCTTACTAGGTGGGTTTCAAATAACATATGTATGTGTCAGTCAGTCACCGCCAACGAAGTACCCTCAGTGTTTGGAAATCAGGATTTTCTATCACTTAAGTTTAAAGACCACCTTGGGTGCGAAGAGAGTTTGTTATGAAATTTTAGATGTAAGAGAAGTATGAGGTATTAACGCAACCAAAATAATTTACACTATGTACACAAAAAAAGCGAACCCAGTGAGATTGTCATCCTTTCTCGCTCAAAGTTTCCTGGAGTAGTTAAACAAGCTTCTTACTGACCCTGACCATGAAATAATGATCCCAGTAATAATCATTGGCAAATCATTTAATTAAACGCTTCAGCTATTTAATCAAGATATCCGTCTATAACAGCCGCATGTTTTCATGATACCCTGATTAGACTATATGATTTGATAAATTCATTTGATAAAAGACCGTGAGCCAGAGTCTAATTTTAAGAACAGGCGCAAACCTTATACTTCACAGTCGAAAAGCCTGTTAAATTTTGTTGCATATTTTCATTCAAATTATGAACACTATGTGTCGGGGCTCATCGTAAGCATTTCTACCAGCTTATTCACAGAATAGCAGGTCATTGATAAGTGACCATAACTCTCGCACGGCGATCGAGATGAGGCCGAAAGAGCTTATAAGGATGTACAGAGAGATTGAGCGTGGTTTGTGGTTGTGTTTTTTCCTGTTTTACTTTCTTCACAAAAGAAAAATTATCAAACAGGAAATTTCTTCTGTATCTCTGAGAGTAGATGAGAAATACTCAGGAAACGTTTTCAAGGGACATTGCTTTGTCAAAGCACATAGAACAAAATGTAAGTCCTGCTGCCTAAAGAAATTACACAAAAACTTGGCATTATATCCGAAAGAATTTCATGACATGGTCGTTACTTAATGAGACTCACGGGCGAGGCGTAAAATTTCAGACACAAAAGATCCCTTGTATTGATTGAAGTGCGTACTAAAGAGAAATCGGATTTCACAACACTGTGTTCTAGCACGTTCAGAACTTATAGGTTTTGCAATCTTGGTAAACAAAACAAATCACACTGTTGTCGTGTCATTTACACTTGTTTATTATCTTTTAACGATTATTCCGATTTTTCATGTTCATGGATTCACGAGCCAATAAAATTGTAACCCCAACTGATTCATTCTTTCAGTTTCTAGGATATGGGTATCAATTCCCTCAAAGTATCATTAAGAAGTACTTTTACAAACAATTCAATCTACATTATGATTCAAATCAATGACGCACGGTGATGCTAAATGGAAATACAAAGTCGTTGCAATGCAATGGTTGTATTCAGTTCGGAAACCAACGAAGATGAAATCGATTACTAGATCGTAATCACTGAGAAATAACCATAACATCCAGCTAAGAGAAACAAGTCTTGCAATTTTTGAATTCCTCTTAAAAAAATTTCCCCCAGTTGCGTATGCTTTTAACAATGGACTGTCGACATCCTTAGCGGCTGACGCAATTTTAAATTCACATTGACTGAGAATTCACTGAGAACTATGTACAGTAAAACAGTAGTTAATTTGAAAACCAGAGTTAACATACAGTTAAAATTTCACTCCTGGCAAATTTTCATCATATAAATTCTCAGCATGAGTTCAGACAGGCTATGAGCAATAAATTGCCATCACAGAAAAACGATTCCAGTGGAAATTTATGTTAATGTTAGAGCCACTGGAGCTTTACGTGCGTCATTTAGGCTAATTAAAAGAGGGATGGGTTGGAATCTAAAATGATAAGGAAATAGGAAAAAGCTAGAAACTTAGAGGACAAACCCAATAGTGCAAAATGCATTTAGCTCTGCCAGCTTTCGCACGAAACACAGACGATTGTCCTCGACATATACACTTGTATTGCCTCTGATTACCTCTGAAATAACTTTCTAAGTTGTATTCCGCAGTTCCTTCGGTGGAACAAGTAACACCAATGATTCTTTCCTGAGTGTTCTCAGTAACGATAACGTTTTGTCCAGCGCCAGCTCTCTCGGCTGTGAAAGGGACTCCATTTCCTACCCGATAGACACACAGAGACATATTCACTAGCCCCGGTTTTCCCGGTCTTCCGTCTACACCATCCTTTCCTGAAGAGCCAATAGGCCCAGGGTTTCCAGGCGGGCCCCTCGGTCCGACCAAGCTGCTGATATTAAGTTTATAGTTTTTCGCGAAGGAAAATGCTTCAGCCGCTCTTTGTTCTAGCTCTACAATCTTTCCAGTGTGTTCGATGTCTCGTCTCTGAAGCTGTGAAATGATTTCGTTTTTTTTTCTGATAGCTTGATTTAAATCGCTCAAGTTTGACTTCATTTCCTTGATCACTCTCCATAATTCCTGTGCTGATCCCACCGATTGAGCAGCAGAGCTTTGGCTGGGTACGATTTCTTTCTTACAATCGTCGCAGCCTGGGACAAACATGATCCCCAACATAAGCATCACAACAACAACTGCGGCCCCCAAACCAAATAAGAAACCGAAAAACGCCATGACTTTGAACAGTTTGTTACACGTGTCTCTGTGGTAGCCATCGTCGGAGTCGTCCGTGAACGTTCTTTTCCGCTTCTGAGAGTAAGGTACGGGTTCGTAAGCTTCATTTGTCTTCCTTCTCGGCCGCTTGTTACCTGATCTACTCGGAGGATGGGGTCTCCCTCGACCTTGGCTGTGGAATACTTCATCCGCTAGTTTGCTTGGGTCCTCATACTGATGGCTTGGATCGTCTACAAAGCGTCGACCGTTCATGTTCTCGTAAGAATCCTGTCTTGTCTTCAACGGCGTTGTGGCCCGACATTCTGGTTCATAATCCATCATGAAATCCTCGTTTGTTGGAGTAAACGCTCTGTTAGGGACCAACTCGGCTCTGGAATTGACGCTAGCCATGTGCTTACACTTTCTATAGTAATTTCTGTTTCTTAATCAGTAGTGTACTCTGTAATTAGCTCTGTAAACTTGGCCCGTAGAAAATGTTCTTCGTCTAATGATTGGGCTCCTTCTGAGAACAGGCGTCAATGTTTGTGTAGTAATTGCGTTTGCGTATCTGTCCGTAATTTGAGCAGCGTGTAGGCCTGGCTGACCGCAGAGATTGTATATACTTCCGATCAAGAAAATATACACGCGTTGTGATGAGATACTGCTTGTTATAGATTAAGATAGTCACGCCATGGGCCAATGCCTAAGTACAACTCAAAATATGAATGAATGACTTCTGGAATTTAACGAAGAAAAAAACGACGCTGAGCTTTGTTTTAAAACTTCCGGTGATCCTTTGTTTATTTTCGCGCCATTTCCTCGCTCTGTTTCCTGTTACATGTGCTATAATCTTTTTAACCTGAAGATTTGGATGTCTGCCAACAAAAACTTTCCTGTTCATCTTCAAGCACCGGTCTTTGTCCCAATAGAGTCTGCTAAAAAATTACAACTCCTTCCAAACTGGCACATTTTTCGCCTAAAAACCCTACGGCAAATTGTTTAGAAAAAGGAATGTTATTGATAGGGATTGTAATTCAATGACAGCGGAGCGGAACAAGTAGTCAGAAGACCGCGATATATGCACAATGGACTTGAAGGTTTCTTTAACCAATCAACTATCGCCAGCTGAGACAAAGGTTGCGACGGGGTAACTAGGTATATCTTAGGGCAGTTTGATCGGATTTTATCCCGCAAACTCACAATCAGAGATGAGATGACATAAAATCTAAGAATATTTGGCACGAAATATGACACAGCCAAGATATTTGAGGGCGGAAGGGAAGGAGTCAAGGTACATTTCTGTGTCAAGGAATTCAGGCGCGTTTAAAGCTACAAGGATTCACTCAGCAATTGTCAAAGGCAAACAAACCTCACTTCCCTGTGAGGGACAGAATCTGAGTAAGTTTGAACACAATGGCCGCGATGGGCCTATAATGGTTTATGCTGAAGAAGCCGTATACAACTACCATAAGTTTGGACACTATAAAGTTATTATGGCACTCAAACCGGTCGATAGTCTTCGCAATCAGTTGTTCTTTGCGAAGGAATCTACAAAACACAAGAAAGAGGTGCTAATAAGTAACAAATCTTCGCACCTCCCTGTTAAACAAGCACCGAACTTTAAGGGAACACGAACAGACGGCAGATTTCTCGACAGCAAAACGGCTGCGCAACTTCGAGAACGAAAGACACATCTGAAACCTACTTCGCACTCGAACCCGGACTCGTTCGAAGAACTAATCGAACGATACAAAACTCGCAGAGCGGCCTATGATGATCTCATGGGAACAGGACACGTCGAAGTCTTAGACAAACTCGACAACTTGTACAGGCAAAGAAAGGAAGAGAGGTTAAAACTTTTGGCGCAGTTTAGCAACCTTGGAGAGATACGAACTGAGATAAATACATCGACGGGTTTAAGAGACCACGCGGCAGATTTAGAGAAGGCAAGTAAGGAAACAAAGGAGACTTTAAAACTACCAAAGATTCGAGTATCTACAGTGTCCGAATTATCCAAGAACGACTCGCGAAGAAAGCTAGATAGAAAGCACTTGCTTGTCCCGAGAGAAAAAGTAGGGGGTACTTCGTTAAGAGCGCGCAATGCGAACTTAGAGAGTGTCACTTTTAAGTTACCGGAGCTCTAGTACCCAGCGGCTCATATTGAATATTTTCTTATCGCAAATCTGAACACGCCTGTAGATTATCTTTTCCGGAAATCTGCTTACTGACAGAGTAAGGGGTTTTATTAAGAATTATAAATGATTTGCGTGTCGTTCGCCAGTTGTCTTCACCGAGCCATTGAATGCGAGTCATCAGTCACGGTTTAGTGATCAAAAGGATTTTATAATCACTGACCGCACAAAAGACGATAACAGGGTTAATTTATTTGTATATATTACGTCTCCGTAAATGACTGCAGTTATAGGTCTAATGATAGCCGAAAATATTGCAACTATGACAAAAGTTAATGGCAAATTAAAAGTGGGTGATTACGTTACCCTGCTTAAATAAAACACGGCCTGATCAAATTGCGTGTAAACAAACATCAGAAGAGTTGTCAAAGAACCCTGCCATTATTGAACACTGGTTAATACGTCGATCAACTCCGCACAAAGTCCGAGATCTAAAGTTAAAAATAGGAAATTCAAAATTTGGAATTGGTGACCGCAGTTAATTGAAAGCAGCGAAAGTTAATTTGGATGTACAGACTTAATTTAAACTTATTAAGATTTGACAAACTTGGTAAGGAAACCATGCTCTTGTCTGAGGCCATAGATTAAAATCATCGATGTGTATTTTACACCAAGAGACGAGAAATGATTTGAAGCACATCATCAATGATCCATTAAAAAGAGAGAAAAGGGAGCAATCTGTTGGGTAATTAAAAAAAACACCAAATGCCAATTTGTACGAATCAAATGGCTTACCGTGAGTCAAAACACCGATCGAGTATCAAAGCCGCAAAACACAAATACAAACGGCGAAGTGAAGTACTGGGTCAAGTAAGTTCGGTCAAACTTACGCAAGAGCAGTAGAAGGTTCTACTTTTTTCTCCGAGCATAACTTACTTTCAACGCTCTGGTTTGATTTCAGAGACATACATCGATAGAAATGAAGTCATGACCATTTTCGACTTTCAACCGAACACAAAGAAGTTTTATATAATCCATTCTCGTGATCCAATTTTGCTATTGACAAAAAAACAGAGCTGAAAGGTCGAGCAAAACAATGCAGCTAGAAAAGAGGGAACCGTTCAACTCAGAAACGTTTCAGGTATATTACTGCAAGTTATAAGCAAAATTACGTCTTTCCCAAACTCGTTTCACGGTCAGGGCCGTAGCTAGCATGAGGCAAGACGAGGCAATTGCCTCGTCTTGATTTTGGCTCAAGATTGACTTTTCTGAAGAAAAATGCCACGGGAAATGCTTAAAAGAGCATTTCTGAGCCTCTAGATTTCACAATTTTTTGGGAGGCATACCCCCAGACCCCCCCTTGCGGCTCGCGCCTTCAGCGCTCTTGCCTCGTCTTGTTCTCAAGTCTGGCGACGGCCTTGACGGTTTGAAGGTTCAGTGCAATTTGATAGTAGTAATTGTCTTTTTCTCCTTTCCGGCATTAAGCAATCTTGTCATTATCCACCAGTTTTCATGATGTTTTACCGTAGAAACACTACTACACTTTACTCAAGTATAAAAGCTATGGAAAACGTAATCATTAGGCGTATGCCTATCACTTCCTAAATCACGCTCTTGCTTCAAACTTTTCCACTTAACAAACCAACCACTTCACGTACACAATAAAGACGTTGAAGGAAGTTCTGTATTGCCGCTTGAACATCGCTGGAAATCGATAGCCATGGAACAATAGTTGGCCAACAGATTTAACTTTAACATTTGAACAATTCAAAAAGTTACCTCAAGTTAAAGGAAACCACAAACAATTGACTTGGCAAGATGGGAGGAAATTCAGAGTTAACCCTAAAATTAAAATGTACCGCAAATGACACATATGAACTGAGTAATTCAGACTAAAAAATATTTTGAAAAGATGCTCGACCTGCGGGATTCCTTCATGTTCAGACCAAGGAGAACAAACCTGCGTCCGCAAGTGCTAATACAGTGAGCCAAAAAGGAAATTTCAGCAAAGCTTTTCTGGGCAATTTCAGCGGGCAATGAAAGGGAAGTTAGAAAGTGCTGATACAGTGAGTCTAAAAGGAAATGTCTGGAAGGTTTTTTCTAGGTTCGGCGGAACAAGGAAAGGGCAGTTAGCGTTGTAAACGTGATTGAGAAACCAAGATCGCTGTCGCACCCACTTCCAGTCATGTCCTAATTAAGTACATGGATTCTTCGTGTGGAGGTTGTCGGAAATAAAAGTGTAAAACTGTATGCGATACAGGTAAGTGGGTAGTTTACAGGTCACGGTTCCTCGACCTCTTGATTTGAGAACGTCACTGTAAGGAAGCGGGTTTAATGCATTTATTTTATTCACTGACTTTTAAACTCGATGAAAAACAAAAAAAGACTTGATTTGTCCATTGTTATTCTTTTCGCGCTCCTCCCCTTGAACCAGTGAGGAGCGAGGACCGGATACGAGAGAGCGGCGGAAATCGAGCATGAGTCGGTGCAGTAAGAACAAAATCCGAGTCTCTCTTGAGTGCGCTGGGAAACGATGATTAAGGAAGTGAATAGACTATTGTCTTAAGAACTTCGTGAATGGCCAGAAACACTCGGTGTAAGAAACGGCCGCAGATCAGTCCATTATAGAACATGAAAGACAGATGTAATTTCCATAGATAACCATCTGAAAAAAAATGACTTCAGAGTTCACCTGCTCATGCAGAATTACTCTAAAAATGCTGGGAATGTCGTTGGGAATCGTATGAACTTGACAGTGTCTTTATAGAATAGAGAAATCGTGGAACGGAACGTGTAATGCTGATTTGTCGACAATGACGCCTGAATCAAGTGGAAGCAAAAAGTCCAGGATTACCGAACCAACGTATGCGGAATTCTCAGTCACGCAAGTAGGAAATTCTGCGAAACTGACCCGGGATCACGTAGTATAAATAAAGTTTATCTCAAGAACGAAAAACAACCTTGCAAAGAAAGGAGAAATAAATCGATAAAGTACGATTGATACTCCTTTGGTTTGGATGTCTCGTTGGGCTGTTTGTCTAGTCTCGTACCCAGACGTTCCACGGCCAAGCGGTCTTACATGTCAGTTACAGTTGTACAGTAGGATCTGGGTACGAGATTACTGTTTGTCTCCTAGCGAGTATGGAAAGCCGTCACCACCAAATCAAAACTCGTATCGACTTGCACATTACTGGTCCAAACCACTTCGAATGCTGTTGAGTTGCATAATTAACACGGTCGGTAAGTTTGGAAAATGTCTGGTCACCGTCTCTTTTTCACTGTTATAAACCTAGTAGCGTTCTATAACAATAGCTGCAATCTGATTGGCTAAGCTACACCCTATATATTTTATGAGAAATAGTGAGTAAAGTGGGTAGCCTAAACAATATCAAATGAAAACAGGGGCCCGTCTCATCGGTAAATTCTGAAAGGTTAGTAGATTCATACTGAAAGAACTAGATCATTCGTTCTCGATTTCTATGTGTGATAAATAATGAGGGCTTGGCGTTTATCAAATATTACGCGAATCCAGAAATCGAGAGCGAATACCCTCGTTTTGTTATATCGCTGGTAGCGCCCGTGTGCAATATAAAGTGAATCTTGTGTTCTGATTGACTAACCGAGCGGGCACCACGGGCCAATCTTGCCCGCTTTGATCCCGCGCCATAAAAACATTGTGTGGAGTGGACTTACGCAGGACTTATAAAGTTCGTAATTTTTGGATCATGTCAGAGAAAAAGTTGCAAAAAGCGGCAGACGATAGTCAAAACGAAGAAAACACGAACGACAATACCGGGTTTATTGTGCTACATACACGGTCGGCTTTCTTTCCGGTTCCCGAAATAAACAAGTCATTCCTGATTCTCAATAAAAGCGAAATATTTTTGTTATATAATACATCTCTTAATTTCAAGACCAAGCTTGTTTAGTCAAGATGGCTTGATATTAGCCTCGTTCTCTTTTTGTGTTTTCATGGGTGTCGAATTCGTCTCGGTCCACAACAACGCAGAAAAAGAACTCGGCCAATATGAAGCCATATTGACCTCAAGCTTAGTCAATAACGCATGTGTAAAGCAGAGATTGAGAAGTGAAAAACAGTGGCCTGGCGCTATCCGTCTCGCTGTGAAGTTTGAGTGCCCAGACAATTTTAACTTAAGCATTCAAAAAATGTTTCCCCTAATTTTGATCGCGTGATAATGAATTCAAGCTTCACCCTTTTTAAATATTCAGCCATCAGTCGATAAGCACAATATCTACTGAGTGAATCCTCTCTCACGCGTAACATACAGATTAGGCGTCATATTTTCTTTAGTTTTACGATATTTTGGAGACCAAATGAATGCGCGCACAATGTAAGCACGAAAGACGAGTTACGCCCGAAACTAAGGAGGGCGTAACTTGCACGTGACTTGCACTTTGCACAAGACAGTTGTTCTGAAAGCAGCTAACAAGCGACGCTTCAAATCACCGATCGCCTATTATTCAGACCAAATCAAACCAGTCTTTGTCTACATCTGATGCAGCGATCTTAAGGTTCATCTTTTAATTGACTCATTCGAAGTAAGCCTTGGTAACAACATCACGTTTCTTTTCAACTGACTTTCAATTGTTTTTTGATCTTAGATAAACGCTAAACAGTGCTCCTAATACAACTGCAGATAATTCAAATAACCGAACTCTTCATTCACCTCAGCTGTCAGCTGTTTGAACAGTCTATTCTTATGAAGTCTACCTCAATATCAACTGTCTTTTTGCGGTGAAACCTGTAACTGGCCGCCAAGTCAAAGCGAAGTTCAGCCAACACTTCCAATTTCACTCCCCATTCACAAGCCTTTTTCTTGATGTGTTCCCTTGTGGCTGTCTTGTGCAGAGAATAAACAGCTGTATTAGACATACTGATGGCCTGCTGTAGAAATTTGAGGTCAATACCTAGAAGAAAATCAATAAAGAACAATTATTAAAACCCAATTCAATTGCATCTCCTAAAACCAAAATCAAACTAATCAGAACAGAGGTAATTATCAAATAATAAAACCAAGCAAACTGCCTGAAAAGCAGGGGAAACCAAGTCATAATTGCTTTATTTAAATTTTGCACCTGATTTTATGAGAAGGTGGCTTGAGTATTTTAGACCAATCATAAGTGTGATGAAGTAAAATCAGACTAATCCAAAGTTATCTGGGAGTGCATTTATTTGCTTAACCCTTTAACACCCAAGATCTCATTAGTAATTCTCCTTACCATCTGCAAAATGATTCTCATCATGTTAGTTTGGAGAATTTGCTATCAGGTCAATTAGTAATGCGACAATTGATATTTTTCTTTATTTTCATCACTTGTCTGCATGATATTGTATAGATATAGTAGTGAGAAATTCTTTCTTAGTCACTCATGGGTTAAGTGTCCTTAAAACTGAATGCAGTCACACCATATACCAAAGTCACCTCTGAATAGGATGCTAATCTATCAGCAATTCTTTATGTTTTCAAAACAGTTCAATGGTACCCATTAGTGGTATCCAGTCATTTTGTGCCCGTGGTTGTTTCATACCCAAACTCAGTTGATTTGTGCCCAGTTTGAGTTGCTTTGTACCCAAACCACTTGTCAATTTGTGCCTATCCCAATGTACATTCATTTGAATGAATGTAAACAGATGTTGATTGTTGTGTACAAAACGTTAGTAGAGTCGAGGGAGTAAGAAACAAACAAAATTATACTGTGTATACTCGTGACCTAACAAACAAAACAACTAAATTATTGCCTAATGCAAGGTAAGTGTGGTATTTTTGATAGAACAGTTTATTGTTTACACTTGTACTTTTTTTGGACACCATGTACCTAAAACTTATTGGACACAAGTAATAAGCTATTTAAAATAAGAAAACTGACCTTACTCAAACCATACTTGACATGGAAAATATATTTTGTTAGAATGGGTACAAAACATCTCAACTGACTAGATATGAATCAACTGAGCTGGATATGAATCAACTGAGCTGGATATGAATCAACTGAGCTGGATATGAAACAACTGTTGGTAAGAAATGACTGGTAACCCCATTCATATACTTGCAAGGGATGGGACACCATCAGAGTGAAAGGTCTTACTTAAGAGCACAATAACGTGACCTGACCAGGGCTTGAACTCAGACCTTTTAACCCTCAACACCTTAAATCAGTATGCATATTCTCCATACTGTTCTCTAAACATTTGTTAAGATGCCAACATGGAGAATTTGTTTAACAATCAAGAGCTTCTTTAATCAGTGATCAGTTCCTTTATTCTCCTGACCTTCCTGTTTGATTCAGGTGTGATATGGTAGAGAGAAATTAGATGCCAGTCACTCTTGGGGATAAAAGGGTTAAACTAGAGTGCAGCATGGTAATAATAGGCCATCTGTGTGCAGGCTCTCACAAGCAGTGCAACACAAGCAGCAAAGCCTGCCCATTGCCAGCCTGGGAATGATTCAAGTGTGCAGTAGGTTCCTGGGGATTCTGGTGAGATAATGAGTGCCAGAACCCTCCCTGACCTCTCACCAGCTCGAATCTTGCAGGTTTTGTTGCTCCTGCCATAGTGCTTGACCCTTTACAGCCTAACATCAGTAGACATATTCTCCATACTGTTCTCAATACATTTCCCAGGATGCTAACAAGGAGAGTTTGTTTAACAATCTAGAGCTTCTCTCATTGGTAATCATTTCCTATTTCCTTCATACCTTTATGTCTGATTTGAGGGTGACATTGTAAGGAGAAATTAGGAGCTTATCACTCTTAGGGGTTAAAGGGTTAAGAGAGCTTGCTCGAAGGCACTTCTTGAGCAAGAGACTAATTCAGATCTTGGCCGAGGTTTCCACCAAGGCCTGGTGCAGTGCTTGGTCAAATTTACTCATTCTGAGAAAAATCAGCATCTGAATTTTGTGTAGATACCTCTATTGTTCTTAGTTCCAAAAGGAGGGTTCATAACGATCGTGTCAAACGTTTTTCTCCATCTGTCACACAATGCAATCTGTTCCACGTCACCTTGTATAAGTTCACATGTCTGAATCTCAAATTCTGCGCAGTTTCTAGCAGCGATTTCTAAAGCATCGCCGTCCACATCAAATCCGATTGTCATAGCACTTCCAAGCATACATGAACCGATACTTAAAACGCCGCATCCACATCCCAAATCACCGACAAGTTTTCCTTCAATGTCACCAAATGTGGAGTCGATCGTGTATAACATGTGAGCCGCTATATGCGGCGTTGTTGGATATTGTTCCAGGTCCACTTTTGGCTTTTCAAAAACATCAACTTGCTGTAAGTATCCTTCTAGCTCTTTAAGCTTCATTTTGTAAAAAGTAACAGAATCGTTGAGTATATATAGCCTGGTCACATCCCTCGAAATTTACTTCATTCACGGCTTGGCGACCGTCTAAAATACACTTGGTAGCCTCGCCAAAAGAAACTTACCGAAACCACTATGGTGGACGATAAGGGCGAAGAGCGACAATCAGACACAGAGACAAATCTTACGGAAAGCAATTCGAGTCAGATTGGGTGGGTAACTTTTGACGAACCAGACACAGATGAACCAGAGTGCCTCAAAACTGCGGATCACGAGCAAATTTGTGCGCAAAAGGGACAACATATTGCACGCTTAGGTGAGTCTCAGCAATGCTCTTTACTTGCTAATCGAAGATCGATTCATTGCCTTGAAAGTCATCGAAAATTGTTCATCTTCCTACTATTCCAAGACGAAAGAAGTGCAATTTAATCGTGGAAATCATGCAAGAGTTTTAATTGGGGGAAATTCCGTCACACGGCCTCAGTGATCTTGATTCTTGGTGCTGAGATTGATAGATAATTGAATTATCTCAAAGCAGCTAGGATAGTTGAACTTTGATTGGAACAGATCAAAACGAAAAAAAAGAACTTAACTGAACTTACGTACTGATTTGGAATATGCAATTGTGGTTGTTAGTGGATGTGATGGCAGAGAAAAAAATTAACTGATGGCTACCGGGGCAAACTTCTCCTTCAACCCATTAACTTATAGGTCTGGAATGACTGGCTTCTAATTTCTCTTTACGGTATCACCCCTGAATCAAATGTTGAAGTGTTGAGAATAAAGGAAATGATCAAAAATTAAAGGAGCTTATGATTATTAAAACAATTCTCCTTGTCAGCAGCTAAGGAAGTGTGTAGAGAACAGTATGGAGAATATACATATGGATGTTAGGATGTAGAGGGTTAATAATGATTCATTGCAGAAGGGATAGGTGTGATGTCTGAATTACTTCCTTTTTTCCTCAGAGAGGGAGCTTCAGAGACTGCAGGATAAGAAAAGAACACCTCTTTCATCCAAAGAAATGATAAAAACTTTGCAAGAAGCCAGAGATACTCATATGAAACACTTTATGGACAGGCCTGAACAATCAGAGGCATTTTTGACAGATGGAGGTGAAAGAAATGACAACTCTTGTTGCTTTCCTGTATACAGAGTAGTGTTTCCTAAACAACCACTCAACAATGAAGAACTTGAGTGCTTGGTCGAAGATAATGAGGATAATAATCCTGATAGAACAACTAGTGAAGCATGGAAGACATGATAATAACACATTCTAGCCAGTTTTTTGGGTGAAAAGGTTGAGCATCCAACAATTCGATCAGACCTACCTTTCACTGCATTGAAAATAATAAAGAGAAGCTGGTAGCAATGACCTTTTAATGTGAGAATGCTCTCAATTTTGTACTATGAAGCCAAAATCAAATTAATAGTAACGATAATATTAATTCCAATACTGTGAATACTAATAATAATGATAATAATGATAATAATAATGATGATGATGATGATGAAGTTTGATGAGGGAACCCAACTTGCTAAAGTGGAGCCCTCAAGATCATAATTAATAAATTACTATGTTGATTTTGTAAAGAATTAAGTATTAGAATCAAAATCTTAAAATATGAAAAGAAATAGTTTTCATTTTTGCTTTAACAACCTAACGAAAAAATGTTTTCCTTTCAAATTAAACAAAAGTCTGACAGGCCAAAGTTTGTGTGCCTCAGTTAGTTTAACGAAGAGGCAAATAAAGATGTCTGGGTCTTCTTGTGTTGAAAGAATTAACAGCTTGATTGTGGATAAAATCAAAGTCCAAATCAGTTTTGTGAATTACAGACATTTGTGTACAGTAATCATGACAGAGGGACTAATCTTCATTAACCCTTTAACTCCCAGAAGTGATAGAAATATAACTTCTCCCCATGATGTTCATACATTATCCAGCAAACAGGTCATGAGAATATTCAAACTTATCAGGTTGAAGTTGTTATCTGGATCTAACACTAAATTCTCAACTAATTTACCAGGAAATGTGTAGCAGCTAGAGGGGAGAAGTAATAATCACATCTTGGGAGTTGAAGGGTTAAATGAAATACATGGCATTTTGTTGTGTGGATGATATGGGAGAATAAAAAGGTCGTCAGAGGTGAGCTGAAAGTAGAGAAATTTATGCAAAGAAGCCTAAAAAAGACCAGGCTTCAAAGGGATCACATCCTTGTAATTTAGGCAAGAGAATTTGGTGCTATATCAGGATTACACCCTTAAGCTGATAAGCTTTTCTGAACTCATAACCTGTTTGCAAGATAGCATATTGGAACTACTAGGAGAATTTAATCATTAATCATTTCTGAGAATTAAAGGTGAATTCCCTTAAGTATCACGTATTCATACCTCAAACTTTAGGAACAAAGGAATATTACGGTGCTCCTCCATGAAAGGTTCTCTTTTACAACCAAGCTCTAATCACAAAAGGAAGAAAGTCCATGAAAATGATCAAAGTAAAATTTTTGAATTATTATTATTAAGTGTTTTGATCCTTTTGGTTTGTTTTTACCCCATTTGTTAGGCAATTTTGTCAGACAATTTGTTCAATTTTATTGAATTAGATGGTAGCTAATCGAAGTGCTGTGTGAAAGTCGATGCATACGAAATATTCATTTACAGTACTGATGCTTGTGTCTATGCCGGTATCCGCCAGAGGTTTACGCACTGTACACGCAAAGGATATCGGTTAGCTCAGGAAAGGGCTTGAACTTCATTACAAATGAGGTATGCCCGTTATTAAAATACGATGGAAACTACAATTGGTAGGATTTTCATTGGACAAGAAAAGCGCAAATATAATGATGTGGAAAGAAAAGGAGTATGAATACATCTCAAGCGCGTGAAATAAACAGCAATGAGGAGTTCACCATTCTTCGCTTGCGACACTTCAGCCGTAAAGAATGTTGAACAATCGTGTACGGTGTGGGAACAGGCCCCTTCATCAGCATTTTTTTAGCTGAATTCATAGGTTATCTTCCCCTGATTTCACTAGTGGTATGTGGTCGTAACAGCCGTCCTAGAAGCCGGTACGCAGCATACTAGTAAGACCGACGACATTGAAGAGTAAAATCTCCGCGATGTCGACGATCGAAATGCGTCCAATTTGGCCACTCAGCTAGCATTTCTATACACTTCTTTCTAAAGGATGTCTGTATATGTGTGTTATTCTTGTAGCTAACATCGTTTGGCGCTCCAGCCACGCAGTACGTTCGCCCTTTCGCCTAGATTTTTCCTTGCTCCACCATAGTTGCCGACGTGTCTTCACAGTTTCCTCAGTATATCACAGCTATGTAACGTGATCGTTTTGGCCGCGTTCTGAGGACACTTTTTAGCCGCCAAATCATACTTTAAATGCACAAAAAATGGTCAAGGAGAACTCGCTAGGCGCTAAGGTCGATTATTTATAATTTCAAATACAGCTATTCAACCGGAAAATACAAAAAAGAAAATTCGTGTCATAGGCACTTTCAAAGTAACACTCACACAGGAGCCCATCACTTGTGATGGGCTCCTGATATACATCAATACTTTTTTCCGCTGATTTTTTTTACCTGCGCAATGGGGAGGGACTGCTGGAAGTCTAAAGGCATGATGGCCAATAGAGCAGCGTAATGGGTGACAGCCAACACAGTAACAGAACCGGATTCAAATTTTCGAAAAAACCGCAAACTTTGAATCTAGTTGTCGTGGGTCACTAATAAATTTCCACGGGTCTTCCTCGCTCAGAAGAAGTTGCTGCGTTGTCCTCTCAAGAGGGCGGAGTATGTCTTTTTCCTCTGCAACGGACCCAAGGAAAAAAAACTATTCCCTATTCTTACATCTTGAACACATCTAAGGCACTATTAGTAAATAGTACCGCAAAAGAAACTGAATTAGTTATTAAAAACGGTTTTTTACACGGGACTCAAATAAACAACCAGATCAAGCATTAATTAATCATGTTCTCGAAAAGCGCATGTGTAACCACTTTTCTGTTTTAACTTAACCACGTGCGTGGCATGTAACGGATTTGTTATTCTTTTTCCTCGTTCTTCTGTGTGACATCCATTGAGGACGATGCGTTTTTCAGTGGATTTCATTGTCAACATTTGTTTCTTCGATATAATCTGCAACTGTGTATTTATTGATTTTCGGGGGATATATTTCAGAAAAGCTTCTCACAGTTCTTTGTCTGGGTAAAGACAAAGTAGAAGTGGAGGGTTTTTCAGCCGAAAACAGATTTAAGAATTAATTCAGCTTGCAGCAAGAGACACTATTGGCCTGCAATTGATTTTGGTGACCAATTTTGCCGATCATTTAGCCAACATTTTTTGATCCAAAATTTGCAATTTTTTCCGTTGTTTCAATTGCCTCCTTGCGTTTGCGTATGTGTGTTCTGCTTCACTAGTGAAAAGCTCAAAAAGAGGGAAAACGAAAGAAATTAGAGAGACAGAAACCTTTTTCTGCTTGTTTGCCATTTTCCATTATAGTTTGCAACCGGGCCGCGTCTGTCGCCATAGAAACAAATCAAAAGATTTAAATACGCATGTGCGAAAGTAACTCCTTTTTATGTTACCAAGGAAAGAGAGAACTATCCTGGTGGAATGCTTTGATTCAACCATCCAAGAAATAAATGTTCACGTGTAATTTTGAATTTAAATGCAAGTAAAATAGAGCGACGTGGACTGTAGGCTGCCGTAAGACGCGCTCTGAAAAAAAATCATCGTCTTGTAATAGAGCGTTGAGGGAAGATCCTTTTTCCATAAAGATGGGTTCGGAGATGAGCACAAAGGAAGGAAGTGATTACCAAAATGGAAATGTCAAAAAGGACGATGATTTGTACGAAAATGGCGCAGACGAAAATGATCGAGATAAAGAAGGTAAAGCAGCTCAAGACATGGGGAGTAAATATAAAAATGGCGATATTCGCAGCAGAAAACCGGTTAAAGCGGGAAGTAGGACAAAAGCTGAGCTGAGGAAAGCAATTCTCAAAACTAAACAACCAAGCATGAACGAACAGCATAAACCTATCGCCATTCCAAAGTGGCTCTCCCCAATTTATTCTGTTGTGATGTTTGTGGAAAATACTTTGCCTTCGAGGTTCAGACGACTGCTTGTTTTTCTGACCATTGTCGGGCTTGCATTTGGAACCAGGCTGTTCAGTGTGACAATGCCACCTCATATCTGGTTAGTCAAAGTTTTCGTGTTTATCAAATCTGAATCAATTGCCAAGATTGATGATGTTAACTTTGCAGTCTATGTTCTGTCAGTCGATGGACTAACCTTGTGGAGATTCCACTGGATCCTTTCTTATTGTAGCATCATGATACTTTGCCGTGATATTTATATTTTGAAAATTTACCCTCCCCTCTGAATTGATTGAGCGTTTTCAGTTCTTTCTCTTCCTTTCGAGACTGATGCCTTAACGATGAGGCGATTTCGGTAATTACCTTCAAGTTGCCGAAAGAGAATAACTATTAGTAGTGTATTTCTCACGCATAAGTTATCGTTATTCGATTATTTTGCTGGCTCAAAAGCTTCCCAAGCTTTCGTTAGAGAAAAAATGACGTTTGAGCGAGTCATGATGATTAAAGTCACATCCAAAACAGGTATAAATTCACGTCTGTGTACAGTAATGACTTAGTTATCTAACTCGATCAGAAAAAGACAAAAAACTACAACAACAACAACAACAGAAAAGAAAAACATAAAACTAGATACACGAAAAAAAAAATGGAAAAGTAAACAAAACATAGAAAGCGGTGAATTGTTTTCTAATGCATTGTGTTTCGACGGCTAAGAAAAGAATGAGGGGCTAAGGGGACTTAGAGACATTATAACACGATTTTTTGCTGACCAAAATTATTTCTAGAGAGAGAAACTTATGAAGGAGTGAAGGCTGACCCTGCCAACCTGAATGCTCTCTCCTGCAGCGGCTTCTCTTATTATTTTTTTGAACGATAATAAAGATTAAATTAAGATATTGAAGAAATCATGAGGATTCTGATGGACTGAGGAATCATTCCTTCTGAAGTTGCTAAACCTGTGCAAATCGGAAAGCAGGCTTTACCTAAAATTTCTATCTCAACGGGAACCGGAGTAGGTAGTGTGGATATTTTTACAGTGGTTTCCGTAGCTTTTTTTAATGAGTGGATGTCGATGGTAGAATAGAAGGGCTGTGGTCACTAAGGGCGTCGTACAAACAGCAGAAGACAGCTTCTGTCAGCGTGTGACAAGAGGTGAAGGTGGAAGAGATGTTCATTAAAAAGTTTTTCCTCATTCCATTAAAACATGGATCTACAGAATTATCTGAAACCTACTTTGGGAAATAATCTGCTTTGAATGAAAATTAACCGATGAATATGGCCACGAGTAATAATCCTAAGGCCAAAAAAATTTCTGGAAACCACTTCTTAGTCGGAGTAGGACCTGGGTAGGAGATAAGCCGTGTAGGTTCGAATCGTAGACTTGCGAAGCGCGCTCACGACGCTTCGGTTTGGCGAATGAATACTTAGGATTTACATCTCTTTGTCACAAAATATGACTCCTCGAAAAGGCGCAAAGGCGAAAAAGCCAGACAAAGATAGCGACAATGAGTCCGAAATGTCTTCACCGTCGGAGACTACACGCGATTGTGCCAAAGATGTCCACATGTCTAAGTCGAATGATTTGCCAAAAGTGAACCGCAAAGTGTTTGGCCGGCTAATAGTTTTTGGAGGAATCTTACTCATTACATTTGCAACCCGACTTTATGCATTAGAAGACCCACCTCATATATGGTAAGAGAGTTAAGAATTATAACGTTCAATAATTTTCGATTGATTTGTTACTATGTTCAATATTTCCAGTTGTACTACTACGGAAATATTGCTTTTATTGTATAGTTTCGTTCTGAATGACGCCCAGTGTGAGGTGTCTCACTGCCTTGTAACGGACTAAATTTAACGTGGAAACTTAAGAATTTAGGGACTTGTAGAAATTATTGACCACTCAAGGGGCTGGATTGCCGCTCCTTAATTACGGTTGTGTAGCAACTGTTGACGCCATTTTAAAACAATTAACTGAGTGCCAAGATATTCCTCGATTCCTTTGGGGATTTTTCAACCGTAACAGTCAATTTATTTTAAGTTGAATTACAACAACAAATTGTGTACGTATAGTTCATAACTATGCCTTTCTGTCATTTTTTATTGCACTCTGATCAAATTCAAGTTACCGGCTTTCATTACGAGCTTGAAACGAATATTGCATGAATCGGTATTCCAGTAAGCAATTGTTGAGTGAATCGAGCAATTCTTGAGTGAATCTTTGATAACTCATTAATTTTTGGACGGTAATTGTTTATTAACCCCCAGAAGATTTTGGTTGTTTTAAATTTTCTGCTCTTAGCAAGAATTTCGAATTTACTCTCCTCCATTAATTATAGCCACTTGTGTTTTCACTCTTTGTTGTTCAGTGACTGTGCAAGATTGTTACAGCTGTTTGTGTATCTTCCTACTGGTGCTTAAACAAACGCGTTACACCCATATTTTTAAGGTGGCTCCATTGGGTTTTTTGACTGCGTGAGATCTGGATACTAACATAGCTTGAGCTTAAAACCTGGCAATCTAATATGATTGTATGATTGTTACCTGAAAAGGTGTTTAAAAACAGTTCAACACAATACAGTTGTTATGTGATGGAATCAAGGGTTACCACCTGTAGTATTCATAGTCCTTCTATGCCTGAAGGTCAACTGGAAAGAAAACACTGTAAGAGAGATTGCCAAAAGGCAACAGATTTGAAAGTCTACACATGATCAGATACCAATCTTGGCAAAGCTCTATTCCATTGTGTAATGCTTTGTGACAAAGAAAATTGGGATCAATGGCTTTTCCTTTAGTGAAATTTCACAAGATTTGCTGGACCATTAAACATATTTTTGTCTTTCCTAGTAACTGTTGATTAAAAAAAATTAATGGGACCAAATTTAAGATAGAGGAAGGAAACACAGAATTGCAAATAGTCAGAAGACTACCTTTGTAACCCCCTATTTTTTTGGCTTTTAAATAATTGGCAGGACAAATTGGGAAAATTTTGAGAGGTTTCACGGAAGAAAATTGAAGAAAATGGGAGGCAAAGCCAAACTATTGCTGGAAATCACCTCCCTTTGTGGAGCCTTAGCTTAGTAACGAAAATCATTTTCTTAATATTCACCACAGCAAACGATAGTCTGAACCTTGCTCATCACCTTCTGATGGCTTTTAATGACCTAGAAAAGTGAAAACATAAAAAATTTTCTAGAAAAACAGTACACTGGTGTGCATGCGAACATTGAGCAAAAACCCTATGGAGCCACCTTAGATACTACTCAAGCTATTACAGTATATAAATTGACAAATGTTTGGTGATCTTGTATTTTCTCGTAAAAATTTTTTTGTCTGTTTGTTTGTTTGTTGTCTGGAGAGGGGGAGGGGGAGAGAGGGGGAGGGGGAGGGGGAGGGGGGGGGTTTAAGGTTGAAAAAGAAAAATGAGAAGTTTTTCCTCAAAAAGTTGCCTTGTCTTAAAATGAGCATACAAGTCTTTGTACAAATAGGCTCTTTAGGAAAGTGGTCATAAGGGGAAAACTTGCCAGTATAGATCTTTAAACTTTTAACTCCCATTTTATTTCTTCTTACAATACTTCTACAACATCAACCAGATAAGTAATGAAAATAAAGAAAAATAACAATTTGGGGATAATTAGCTGATCCAATGCTAAATTCTCTGAATTAACATTAAAAGAATTGTATGGTTGACAGTAAGGAGAATTACAAATTTGATGCGAGAGTTAGGGTTAAACAAGGATAATTTGAAAACCTTAGGCTATTTTTGTCAAGGTCTCTTTCTTCTATAATTTATGCATTTAATTACAAAAACATAGACAGCCAAAAACTATTTGCTTTGAATGATATCGTGGGTATACATGTCGGATGACCAAATGAAAAACTTGGCAAACACTATAGCCCTTGTTGCCTGCTACTACTGCAGTAGTCTTGTTTACTTTCAAAAACTATATTACTGTGCTGTTGTCAGGCCAGGCCTACTGATGGTTATTGCATTTAATTTGGTGGATGTCTACTAGCAGTAGCTACACCACAGCTGCAACTGTAATTTTAGTCTCCCAATATTTTCAAAGATAACAGTCACCCAAGCGAGATCTACAGATTTTTTGAATGTGATTGTTGCCAAACTCAGCAACTGAAGGAGTTTGGAATCTGTGAGTCACTTTATATTGACCGATAATCCTTAAAATTTTTAGAGCTGGAAAATTCTGATGCACTTATTTAAAAGAGCATGCATAGTTCTTTTTATTCCTTTAGTTGCTGAGATATATTTTCTTAGATATTTCTCTCAGTGCTTTATTTATAACCCCCAAAGATTTCTGAAGATTTCAACAGTTGGAAAATTCTGATGCACTTATTTAAAAGAGCATGCATAGTTCTTTTTATTCCTTTAGTTGCTGAGATATATTTTCTTAGATATTTCTCTCAGTGCTTTATTTATAACCCCCAAAGATTTCTGAAGATTTCAACAGTTGTCTCCCATGTCCACAAACCCATTGAGCAGAATTAAAAATATGAAATTATTTTAACTTCTTCTTGATGTTCTTGATATTGTAGTTGGGATGAAACTCATTTTGGCAAACATGCTAATTACTACCTCAAAGGAGAATTCTTTTTTGATGTTCACCCACCTTTAGCAAAGGTAAGCATTTATAACAATTTGATTGTCATCACTAGGGTTTTTTTATACTGTTAATCTTGGGTGTAAATGTTCTTTTTTAAGCAAAATTTTCAGATTACTCTGTTTTTTTGTCTCAGTCTATAAAATGGTTCATGAAAATGAACAAATTGTAAACAAATAATTATCTTAAATTTAGAATTGCAGTGAAGTATTCAATTCAATTAAAAGTAATTTATGAGGTATTAATTGAATGAAATTATGAATGGATGGATGAATGAATAAATGAATGGTTAACTGAGAGAATGGTCAATTGATTAAGTAAAGAGTAAAAGCCAAACAGAACAATCTAAAAACACTCTGACATGATTATATTTTACATTTTATCCTCCTAAATAAGTCTATTAATTTTTTTTCCTTGAAACAGATGTCAATTGCCTTGGCTGGATATCTTAGTGGCTATAATGGTTCATTCCCATTTGATAAACCTGGTGATAATTATGGAGAAAACAGCTATGTAGGCATGAGATTGGTGAGATGTTATATAATCATATATTTTTGTTGCACAGTAATTAACCTGTTTGTATTTATTATATAGTTTTAATTAATTGATTAACATTTTTCTAAGGGGTCAGCTATGAACTATTCCTGTTTTTGTCTTAGTTAAGCATGGCAAGAGTCTGTTTTCATCTTGTCTGAAATGTAATTTGTGACTGATGTTTTTTAGGAGAATTATGCTGTCAATTACATCTACTGTACCCTTCCGCACATGAGATTAAAATAATTATGTTCCATTGGCCCATCAAACCCCTTTGTTGCAAGAGAAAAACTGAAAAGTTTTCTGTCCACCACTGGCACTTGTTTTTGACTGTGTTTGATACCATCTTTGCATCAATGCTCAACATTCTTCTAACCCCTGTGAACAAATGGAGCTGTGCAGATCTGTCACTTGATTTTGTAAAACAGCGGAGAGTAGTATGCTACACTTGAAATTTCTGCCTTGTTTGTTGACTGGAAAAGCCACTGATGACCACCACCAACAAGTACAAAAACCTCCTCTGAAGTGTAGGCAAGGCAAAAGCTTCACCTGAATGGGAAAAAAATTGGAAGTTTTGCTGTTAAAACATTGAAGTTTGATAGCTTAACAGAACATTTTTATCACATGCATGGAATGACACATGTAGATGGAATCAACAGTATTTATATTCAATTTATTTTAAACCTTTGATCTCCTTTTTGAGCATAGTAACACACAGTAAATGTTATGTCCAGAATACTTTGTAATGTCATCATGGAAGTTGTATTAAGTCATATCAAGCACTACATGTAAGATTGTCGTTCTCTCTTTGTGTTTTAGTTTTGTGCAATATTGAAACTGTATTAAATTATCTCAACAATTATGGTGGTTCTTTCTTTTTTGTGTGTTTTAGTTTTGTGCAATATTGGGTGCCCTGTGTGTACCACTTGCTTATCTTACTGTGTGGGAGCTCACCAAGTCAACAGGCGCTTCCCTTCTGAGCACAGCATTCATAGTCTTTGGTAAGTTGAATAAATCATTTAGAAGTTATATAACCCTCTAACTCCCATGAGTGACCAGGACAGAATTTCTCCTAACAATATCAAGCAAATAAGTGATAAGAATGAAGAAAAATATCAATTAGGGGATATTGATCTAATACCAAATTCTCCAAACTAACATTGCCATAAATTAGTATAGTTACGAACATACTGACAAGGAGAATTTGTTTTTGATCAAGTGCCTTGTAAATGGGTGATTATTTCCTTTCTTCTCATTACCTGTGCATCTGATTAAAGGGTGGTAGAGTAAGTAAAAATTAGATGCTAGTCATTCCCAGGGGTTATAGGGTTAACCCTTTAAACTCTCATGATCTCATCAATAATTCTCTCTACTGTCTGCCATACAGTTCTTGTGGTGTTAGTTTGGAGAATTTGGTATTGGATCAACTTATAATTCCTCGATCTATATTTTTCTTTGTTCTCATCACTTGTCTGCTTGATATTGTATTGATATTGTAAAGAGAAATTCAGTCTGTCTTGGTCATTCATGGGAGTTAAAGGCTTAAGGCTGTTGGCACCTTGCTATTGTGATAACTCCCAGTGTTTTTAATGAGAACAACTTCTTTGTTTGGTATATTTTCCTTATAGTATCCTCTTCCTTTAATTTTGATGTACCATTAAACTAAAGAACAGAGTAGACCTCCTTCATCTTTTGCCTATTACAACCCACTGACTTTTTATTTTGAAAAGGAACTGTTATGCCCTTATGTTCTCATTTTGCATTGCAGATCATGGATGCCTTACAATATCACAGTACATTTTACTGGATCCAGTTTTAATGTTTTATATTATGTTATCAACTTATTCCTTTACCAAGTTTCAAAACTGCAAAAATGTGTAAGTACCTCATTTGCTATCTACTCATTGCTGTTTAATGTCAGAAAAAAATGCAACATTGGTTATGGTGAGATTGGGTCCATTTGAGTATGCTCTACAAGACTATGGCACTCCACAATGTAATTGAAATCTTTCAAAAATGTTCTGCTTAGTTTGTTTTAAGCATGACAAGTAAAATAAATATTCAAACCACCAGAGCAATCCTTTTAACTGTTGAATTTTTGAGAATTCCAAGTGATTTTAGGCAATGATATGAGGTGCTACAGGTGGGAAATTTCACTGGTACTGCCTAAGAGGGAGGATACTGTCAAATGTTTTATTGCCGTTGTAGATATTGGGTGTCTCACTGTGTGTATGTTGTAATGCTATCGATGGTTAACTTCATGTTTGTTTCTTTTTATATACAAGTCCTTATACCTTTGAGTGGTGGGCTTGGATGGCAGCATCTGGTGTATTTTTGTCTTGTGCATTTAGGTGAGTGAGTGACTGAAACTGCTTAACTTACATCTTGATTATGTTTCATCTACCTCTCCTTTCAATGTTGGCCAACAAGTACCCTGTGAGTTACACCATCAAGTGTTTGTAGGGTAGTGTAGCTATTCATTAGCACTTAGGTAATGTAATATCTGTAAAGTTATGTACTAAGCAAATGCCATCTTTCTGTCTTATTCTTTTTCGGAAGTTTAACTTGTCATACAATGGTTTTCAGTAGAAAGTGGTCTGTCTTTTCTTGATTAAAACTAAGTGGAAATATATATTTAGTCCTTGTCATCTGAATTGGTGAACTTTTGCCCTCACAAAATGATTTTAATTTTCCCAGTACCCCTATGTGTAGTTTGATCTCTAAGTTAACAGTATTTCAGGGATTTTTTCATTTTGAATGTTTATTTATTTCATTTGAATTTTTTACAAAAAAATTTACTGTGTTTTCCTTCCCTCAGCTGCAAGTGGGTTGGTTTGTTTGTGATTCTGTGGGCTGGTATTACAACAGTTTTAAATCTTTGGGATCTTTTAGGAGATCTGTCTTTGTCTCTGGTTAGTATCATTTCCTGTTTATTATATCAGAATATTAATAAATAAACTTGTCATTATTTGGTTTGATTTGAATATTGATAAAAATTTCTCTGATCTACATGATTCAAATTTGCTATGGTGCAAAGGAGGTGTGTCAAAATGAGGAAATTAAGTGATGAAGTTATTTGCTATGTCAAGAGCACAGGATGAAGAAAAGAGTAGCGGCCATTTTGAGAAATTGAACCTTAGATCTACAAATAACTTGCTGGTTGGCTGGGCCACAAAAGAGGTTTTTGTGTGACAAGTGTCCTGCATGATGTTCAGTGATGTGAAAGTGTTGTATGTGTTATTACATGTAGCATAAGATGTTATCGTTATATTTACAATGTCTTTTTACTTTGTTCCAGTTTGAGATTGGTAAACACTTTATGGCTCGAGTGCTTTGTTTGATTATGATCCCCATCTTTGTGTACCTCTTTTGGTTTGCTGTTCATTTCAAGATGCTGCCTAAAACGTAAGAACTTGTTGCATATTATTTAATATTTACCCTACATTTAGTTATTAAAGTCACATTTCCTTGAACTTACATATGCCTGCCTTGTTAATGAGGGGTCTTCTCCGTTCAAGTCATTTTGATATAGGGACTGGAAAAATTTTTAGAGAAACCATGTCTAAAGATCATTTTGTTGTTTTTGTGTTAATTTTTTTGCCAACTGAAGGTATTCAGTTTTGATTTATTCATTAAGATTGGGTGGCAGTCATTGAGTTTGATCACTGATAAGATCTTTACATGGAAAACTTGTTTAATAAAGTGTACTTTGTTTACTTCCTCCCCTGCATAACATGCAATCTATTTTATGTGAAAATTCAAGGGGATTCTTTGTATAGAGGGAAAGTACACACCAGCAAAGTTAAGGAGGACTGCTATGGATGCAATGGGTCTTTTTGTTATTAATAGCACTTTCTCTTTCTTTGCTAAGTGGAACTTCAGCAGTGATTGTTCACCAATCCCTAGCAGTAGGGGAGAGTCTGTAGCGGGCTTCACTTGTAGTTTATACTGCTTATTTGACCTAACTAGTGATTGTAAAGAGTATCTCAATGAACATGCTGGGTGAGCTTCTCTCCTAGGAAGTCATATTTGGTAAGAAAAAAGTGTAAAAGAACTTAATGAAAATGGTTAATAATATGTGTTTAGTATGTACTAATTGTTTTTCTTTGATTTAGTGGGCCAGGTGATGGATTTTTCAGTTCTGCCTTTCAGTCAACTCTACAAGGAAATGTTCTTTACAAGAATGTGGTACCTGCAGGTATATGAATTACATAACTGAATGTATAGACTGGCTGAAGTGTTTATTTTGAAGTTCCAAAGTTTTGCTCCATAATGATTTAGCCACAGAGGAAGTTTCTCTTGTAATGGTTTCTTTGATTTAAGCTAAAGTTTTTCAGAAAGTATTCTACCTGGTAATTGATGTTCAAGTGTAATACTTCAGACTGATATTTTCAATTAACTCCTTTTTTTCTACAGACCTTGCTTTTGGTTCAATTGTTACACTCAAAAACACTCGTGCAGGAGGAGCTCTTTTACATTCACATCATCATCTTTACCCCAAAGAACATCCTCCTGAGCAGCAACAGGTCAGTATGTTTTAATATGAATTTCTCTTAAACTAGTGGCTGTGTTGGCACAATTGTTTTAATTTAGGGGCCCCCATTTGTGTCTTCTTGATGGCCCTTTTTTAAAATGTCCATACCAATAACAGCATGTGAATGTGTTCCTCGCTGTGACAAATTCCAGTCCTTGCATACAAGAAATTGTTTTGACAAGTCTCAGTTAATGTCTTTATAAGTTCCCTGTTGATGTCTGTTGGAGAGGCATTGTATGAATTTTGGGAACTGTGTTGAAATTGTCTACTTCAAGTTTGGATAGATGGGAATAAAATTGGAATGGAAAAGGGAATTGCTACACAGTCGCTGGATTGGGTCTTTCCCTTTTGGTATAAAAGGTCTGATAAGAAAATTAATCATCACAGTTTCCACTGGATGACTTACCGGTAATGAAGACACATTTCATTCATCATAATTAAAATGTTCTTTTCACAGATTACTTGCTACTCTCACAAAGATGACAACAACAAATGGTTGGTGAAAAAGGCCTATGAAGATTACAGTAAGTTTATGGCTGAGATCTCTCATTCATCTTTACACCCTAACATCAGTTTGTAAGTTCTCCATACTAATCTCTATACATTTCCTATGATGCTCACAAGGAGAATTTGCTTAATAATCAAGAGCTTCTCGACTTCATGACCATTTCCTTTATTCTCATGACCTTAACATTTGATTCAGGGTTGGTACTGTTGGGAGAAATTAGATGTGTATCACTTTAAGGGGTTAAAGGATTCATTGCATTTTTAAATACTAACTCCAGCCTATAACTATTTTTATGTACACCGCCCTTACAGATGACCAGCAACCTATTGAATACCTCAAGAATGGAGACTGGATCAGGCTGGAGCATATTGGGTATGTTCAACAATTATTTTTATTATTTTAACCCTCTACGCCCTAACCTTAGCAGGTATATTCTCCATACTGTTCTCTATACATTTCCTATGGCACTGACAAGGAGAATCTAGATACAAATAAATAGCTTTTCAAGTTTGTGATCATTTCCTTAAATCTCATGGGCCTCATGTTTGATTCAGCAACGATACCTTAGGGAGATATTAGATGCTAGTTACCCTCAGGGTCAAGTGTGAGTGTTCATCGTAAGAATATAGGAATAAAATCCTTGTTGCAGTGTAACTCTTCAGTGATAGCTCAGAGATGATGTCAAAATGTGGTAACAACATCGGTGATATCTACACTCTTTTTTGCACCTTATGTGCCACTTTTTTGTTCTTATCATATTTTGACGTCATCTGTGATCTATTACCAAACAGATGCTTTCCATGTTCATGTAACATGTGTAAACAATAACTTGCTAACTTTGTTCCAGAACCAAGAGAAATCTTCACAGTCATCAAGAAAAAGCTCCACTCACCACTCATCATAATCAAGTAACAGGTTATGGAGATGTGAGTATTGGCAGTTATAAAAGAACTTATGACAGAGTTTTAGTCTATCAATAAGCAATATATAGAATTTTCTGATAAACCCTTTAACTCCCAAGATGTGATTGTTAATTCTCCCCTCTAGCTGCTACTCATTTCCTTATAAATGTGTTACAAGAATTTGGTGTTAGATCAAGAGAACAACCTCTTCTGGATAACTTTGAGTATTCTCATTGCCGTTTTTCTGGAGAATGTTTAGATATATTTAGGCAGAAGTTATGTTTAATCACCTCTGGGAGTCAAGGGGTTAAGTGGTACAGTTAATGTGGCTGGAATGTTGTCCAAATTGTGGTGTGTTGTAGTACAAATGAGGTTTCAGTCTCTGAGATTATTTTTGAATTGACACATGAAGGGTCTCAGTGTTTTTCTAAAGTAAGCACAAACACTATTTCTGTCACCATAAATGGTTCCTTATTTTCAATCAAAAGCTTATTTTACAAGCATTTGAATCAACTTAATTCTTCTAGAATGGGAAAGGAGATGCTAATGATTTTTGGCGTCTTGAAGTTGTGAGTGGTGAAGGTGAAGATGGACGAATTAAGACTGTGAAGACAGTTTTCAGACTTGTTCATGTCAACTTGGGCTGTGCTCTTCATGGAAGTACCCAGGTCCTACCAAAATGGTGAGTGGTGAATGCTGATATTTCCAGCTTGATGAAGGGATTTATCAAAAGGGAAATTCTACACCTTTTCATTTGTAACTGTCTACTTGAATGCTGGTGATCTGTTCTTCTTTTTACACATGTCAGTGAGTTAGTCAGTTAGTCTTTTAATCAGTTCAGTCAGTTTCCAGTCAGTTGGACAGTCAGTCATTCAGTTAGTCAGTTGCTCAGTAAGTCAGCATTTAAGGTGTCTGATTTCTGAGGCTTGTCTGGGGTATCATCAAGAAAATAAGGATGTCAACAGTAATGATAATGCCAGGGGTTAAAATTGAGTCTAGAAATGCAAATAATAATAATATAATAATAATAATAATAATAATAATAATAATAATAATAATAATCAAACAATGTACAATAACCTGTGTGTAGCCATTATCAGACTAGTTCTCTCTGTATTTAATATGTTATTGAGGATAGCTAGTCTTAGCTTAAACGTCAAATTTCAGTTCAGAAGAGTTGTAAATGTTAGTTTGTTCAGCAACAGTTCAATTTTTTTTCCAGGGGATGGGAGCAGCTTGAGGTCACCTGCAATCCCATTGTATATCATTCACATAACCTTTGGAATGTTGAGGGTCATGAAAATGAAAGAGGTGAAAAAGAAAAGCAACAATGTGTTAATTATTTATTTTGGTAGTGTCCTTCAAAAGCACCAGCGAGCAGCATTTTTTTCTGGAGTGCTGGCCAGTTTGATTAGACACTGTATCATTGAAAAAAAATTGATATACCTGTTTCAATGCAAAATAAATATTAACACTTGGTGGCTGATGTTCATTATGGTTGGCTTCTCGACAATTATATATTTGGCAGTGTCCTCCAAAAGCATCAGTGGGTGGCATATTTTCTGTCTACTCATTTCTGAAGTGCTGGCCAATTTAAATAGACAAATGAAGGAACATGCCTGTTTTAGTCTGATAGAAATTTTAATCTTTGTCAGCTGATGTTAAGTATGGTAGGCTACTTTGGAGAAACTGTTATGGACAAGAAAAGTCATTATGCACTTTGAAATAATCAACAGACAAACAATTTTCTAACAGACGTTTTCTCTCTGGTTTTAAGACATCATATTACATGTAAATAATTATGGTCATTTTCATTGCTTATTTACACCAATGTCTTACACATGGCAATTCCATTCATGTCACAGCAGATTTTTCTTTGTTTTTGTGTTCATGGCTGTATATGAGGTGTCATTACCCAACTGAGGGAACCAGGGAGGATTCAATCATCACATTCATGATAAAAATTATTATTTTATTATTTATTTTCTGTTTTCTTTTGTAAATTACCAGCTCTGCTGTCAGATAAATATTTTATTTCTTAGCCCATCTGATGTAATAAACTATTATCAAATGTTTCTTTTTTCTGTACGTTTAGTTCCAAAATCTGCATCAGACTTTTATAAGCCTTCATTTCTTGGTAGTGTCTATGAATCACATGTTGTCATGGCTCAGGTATGGTGTTGCAATTGACATTCAATTATTGTGTTGTACCAGAAAGTGCACCAAACCTTTGGAATAACTCTTTTAGGCTAGCAGTGTAAATCCAGGTAGTAGATAATTGACTGGAAAACAAGAGGAAACTAATTGTGAACTAGTGTTAAACATAGCTTTACTTTTCTATCATGTTGAGCCCTGAACATTCTCAGGCAGTCAAGGCCATTTAAGGCTTATCTTTCTTTCTGGAATTTTACAATGCCTCTTCTTGCATATGTACTTTTATTTTTTAATGACAAAGTAACTTTTGTTCAAAAGAAATTGTGCACACTTATTCATTTTGCTTCATAGCTTCTAAGTTTTTATTCTTTTGTTCAAGAGATATTTCATCCTGCTTATTATTCTTTGTTTACAGACCAACTCTGGATTCAAACCAAAGGAAGGGGAAGTGACGTCACAACCCTGGCAGTGGCCAATTAACTACCGGGTTAGATAAATAGATTGAAAAGAAGATGTTACATTTTTTAATTTTACTACCAAGCTAAAATCTTACCACCATTCTTATCCTACAATTACTCACATGATGCTTTTCAAATTGCTGATCTCAGCAGTATGTAGAAGGTGTGTCACTAGACTATGAGTAGCCCCTCCTTTTCAGCAGAGTGTGTGGTGAGAATAAAAAAGATCAGTTGAAGAAATAATTGATATCAACATGCCTCATGGAACTATCGCTAAGTCTGTAGTGCCTTCTTTTGTGAGCCTTATCTCAATTTTTAGTGTGGTGCACTAACATCAATGTATGTTTGCACTGATTTTCTTTTTACTTGTGGGACAGACTTTGCTGAAAACCAGGAACTGCTCGTAATCTAGCATGTTGCATGAATTGTCAGGGAAGCCTGATGAAATGCAGGGGGGGTTGCCTAGTGATGGACTGCCATTCCAATCCTGAGAGGAGTTGTAATACTTCTAGTTGCTTCATGCTATGGAAACTGGGATAAGCTCCACCTGGATAGGCCACTTGGCTTGAGTACAGACTTGGTATTGGGGCATATTTTATGAAAAACATGAATGTAGTATCATAGGAAATGTAGGGATACAACAATAAAGCGATTATGCCTTCTGATGTTAGGGTGTAAATGGTTACTGTGAAATTACTCACTTCTCAATATTTCATTTTGCAGGGTCAGGTATTTTCTGGTGCAGATTATCGTGTCTATCTCCTTGGCAATCCAGTGAGTTTTTGTTTTTTACTTTTAAAAAACACACACTTAAGACATGTAACTTGCACTTTGATGGGACAAATTAATAAAAGTAATTTAATAAATGCGATTCACTTAGTCATTCTTTTTCTCCACAATGCTGTCAGGTTATTTGGTGGTACATATTGGGAATTATGTGCTTGTTTGGCCTGCTGTATTGTTTCCATGCTGTAAGAACACAAAGAGGCTTCATTGATCCACCTGTAGAACAAGGTACAAGCTTCTCCCTCGCTACTCCTAAGCTATGTATTTTCACCTTCTTAAAATAAGTTTTGCAGTGTTAATTTAAATTCTTTGTCTTGGCCAGTTCTGGATCTCTCTCTGAGTAAAACTGCAGAATTTAGCATTGTTTTATACATTGAAATAGTTCTATGATCATGTTATGTATTACCAATATACCCATTTTGGCTATTGTTTATAAATGTTATTGTAGTGTAAATTACTACTGGAGAAGTTGTGGTGGCTTTATGGCTTAAGTGCACTCATCTCAGAACTAAAAAGTTGGCATTCAAGCTCTGAGCAGGTTCTCCCATTCTGTTCTTGAGCAAGATACTTAGGTCTGACAATTTTTTCCCCACTGAGGAGTAAAAATGCACACTGGTGAACTTAAGCGAAATCTGACAAATTGTTGGGTGGATTATCTTTTAATGAACTTGCATTTAATCTAGGGGAACAAGAAGTGTGTGTAGTTGCTTTATGTTACAGAAACTAGAGATAAGCATTGGCAGTTATGTATGTCTCGGCATCTTAGTCTTTTAACTCCCAAGATCTGATTTTTAATTCTCCCCTCTAGCTACTACACATTTTCTTGTAAATTAGTTACAAGAATTTGGGATCAGATCAAGATAACAACTTCTACCTGATAGTTTGTATTCTCATTACCTGTTTGGTGGATAATGTTTGGATATTACAGGGAGAAGTTGCATGTTAATCACTTCTGTGAGTTACAGGGTTACAATAGCGTGTACATTCATACACATCGGTTCTAATTTTACAATCAAAGAAAAAGAATAACTATTTCAGGTGTTGGGTCACTTTAGGGATCAAGATGTATAAATCGTCTCTCTTATCTCTGTTTTCAGCTCGTAGGAAAAGAATGGAGTCAGCCTCTGGTTGGTTGTTCCTTGGTTGGGCCTTGCATTATTTTCCCTTTTATGCCATGGGTCGAGTGTTATACTTCCATCACTATTTTCCTGCTTATCTCTACAGTGCCATGATGGCTGGTGAGTTATAAACTAGATACTTCATTATGACTGTGAAGTGTTTATCAGGTTTCAGGCTGATTAAAGAATTCCGTACTGTAGTAAATGCAAGACATCTGTCTGTGGGATTTGTTTAGTAGTGTATGAAAAAATTTACCCTGGTATTTGTTTGCTATTTGGCAATGTTTATATACACACAATGATCTTGACTAGCCCAGTTGCAAGAGCCTTTTTAAACCTATCATTGGCTTAATTTGCTCGGCAACTTGAACTATCTGATGAATGAAACTGCTTGTAGCACCAATTATAGCTTGTCTGCTGGCTTAAGAATTAACTTCTAAAGAACAATGTAGGACAACATGGAGGATCCATTCTCTTTGGTTCATTTTATCCAGTATGTTTTATTTAGTGAAAGTAAGGTTAATGTTTGATTTTCAGGTATAGTGAGCCAATATTTGTGCAAATCAGTGGCTATGCTTCCCAAGCTTGAAAAGTTTAAAGAGATGGTTTACTACAGTACTATATGCTTGCTTCTGGCTGGATGTATCATCAGGTAGTTTAACCTTTAAATTACACTCTAAAATCAGCATGCATATTCTCCATACTGTGCTGAAAAGGAGAAGTTTTTCAATAATCAGGAGCCTGCTTAGTTGGTGATCATTTCCTTTATTCTCATGACCTTAATGTGTGATTCAGGGGTGACATATATTGTAATTAGAAATTAGATGCTATTCTCTGTTAAGGGCCAAAGGGTGAACAGTCCAATCTTCTTGCATGAGTCAGGATTTTGTCTCACCTCGAGTCTGTTGAAGATACCAACTACTTAAATGTTTGAAAAGTTGCAACTGATAGTGACTTAAATGCACAAGGATAGACTGGATATTTAATATGTGATGGACAGACAGATGTAAAATCTGATGTAAAATCTGTAATGGATGTGAGTTCACTGAGGGGCCTTACATCAATTGCATATTGCATTGGAGAGATCTTCAAACTGCCACGGCTTAATCTGGGCAGGATCCTAGGGCAATCATAGCAAGATCTTGGTGTATTCTTGGTGTGATTCCTGTTTGGCTGATTTGGTATTGTCCTGGGTTGGGCTGTTGCATAACACGATGCAACAACATTCTGAATTGCTACCCTGAGGGTTGGCCATGATTACACCATTAACTCCACCTTCACAAGTGACAATGTGTACTGTGTAATAAAACTAAAATATCATTAATAACTTCATTTCCTTCCTTGACAGTTTCTGGTTATTCCGAGGACTCTCCTATGGCATGTCTGGTCCCATGGCTCATCTTCCTGACTCAACTGCTGCCGTCTACAAGTGGATGGACAGCTGGGAGGTGTAGCATGTTGCAAGAGACCAACTATTTATACCACAAGGATGCAACAAATGATCCAATTGTATATACATTTGGGATATAATTTATCTTGTGTGTATAGACCTTATTTTTTACAAGACCTATGCCTTTCAAATTATTTAGGTAGATAGGAAAGGAAATTTTAGAAAGTACAGTTTTGCAAGGACATGAAAATGCCAAACTCTGATTGTTTGGATCAAAGGAATGGAGGGAGAGGGAGAGGTAGAGGTGGATGGAGGGAGGGAGAGGGAGAGGTGGATGGAGGGAGGGGGGAAGGGATGAAAAGGTATTTATTGTGATGATAACTGGAATAAATTAGACCTTTCAGCACATTTCACATCGAAAAAATATTTTTCTTCTTTATGGCATTGATACCCATGAACCAAACCCCTTTGTTCTAGAAAAAGTATAATTTATTGTGATGATAACTAGAATAAATAGGACCTTTCAGCACATTTCACTCAGAGAAAAATATTTTTCTTATCTATGTGATATTGATATCCACCAACCAAACCAGTCTGTTCTGGGAAAGTGCTTTTTTTTAAGTCAGTGAAGTGGGAATCTTAGGTATTCTTATCTCTTCTGGAGAATTTGGTAGTGAAGAGGTGAGGGTGATTATGACTGTTAGTTCATGATGTTGATTATGCTGATGATGGTGATATAATGAAAATGCAACAACCACCACAACAAATTTACTGTGTTGACCAGTATAACACATTTAAAAGTTTTTTATTCACCATTTGTACATATTCATTCAAGTATTACCAAATTTGGGAAATGCATGACTGTCATGTATTACCTGAGGTCAGACAGGTTCAAATTTTCAAGGTATTTTTACCAAAAACAAAAATAACATGTGAAAATTCAATTTAGTAGGAAATATGTTATCAATGAGGTGCATCAGGGTAAATTAAGAGACAACCAATTCAGGACAAATCACTAGTCTACAGTTTGCCTCTATTATTACTTTGTAAGAGCTCGCATTTACTAGTAATGATTACCATTTATTAAATTGTCATGTAAGAATAAAAATAAAAGAAGTTTAATGTACTGAATGGCAATCCCGAGTAATATTTCTACATCTTGTTAAAAACAGTTTTTAATTTTAAAAGGGGTTTAGTTTTCTGTTCATTACCCTTTTACTTAAAAAACTGATCTATGAAAAATGAGAGCATTGAAGAATTGCACTCAATTTTTTTGCAAGAAGACTTACGTAACGTGTAGCCAACCAATTTATTATAAGTAATGATATAAACTCTGAGATCTCTGTCTATATATAGCCAAGCCTGTTCATTAATCATTAAATGTCTGGAAGTGGATGATATATAACTTTTCTTCACTATGATTCAATAAGTTATGGTATCGTTGATTGTGTGATTAAAGGGCTACAACCAAAACATCAATTGCATTCCCCCACAAGGTCATTGTAATAATATGTATAATTTAGCATATTTCTAAGCCTACTTGGGTTGCCTGTGATACAAATGTTGTCTACCAAGTGGTAGTAGAAAGTTAAAAAGAAAGTAATTCAAATTTTAGTAGTCATGGTCGATATGTCGATGCTTCCCTTGTTGAATGGCACAGACTCGCTAGAGAAAAATCTCTTCAATTGAGAGCAAACCTTGAGGTTTATAAGGATATGGCAGTTTTCCAAAAGTATTTTGTCTCTCAATCACACCAAGCTTTTTAAGAATTTGATCAATGGTCTTTAAATCGTCAGGGTGAACATGAATGCAACCATCACTATCAATGAAAAAACATGCAAAATTAATTTACAATTAATAATTTTTTAAAAGAGCTAAGAAATCTCCATTTAGTAGATCAAAACTTCGGGTAGTTGTTGAGCTTGTAATCTTGTATATAATTTCAAACAAATGAAGGGTCTCTTTTTCTTTGGATAATTATTGATCGCCATTAGTCTGGAGCAATTTTCACCAATTGTCCAAAGTAATCTAGGGCTGCAATGCCTTATGGGTGCTTTACTTTATGATTGAGTGTTGTAAAACCAAGACCAAAGTTATCACAATGGCCAATCAGAAGAGAGGAAAATACCTCTAACCCTTTAAACCCTAAGAGTGACTAGAATCCAAATTCTCCTTACGATATCATTCCTGAATCACACATTATGGTAACAAGAATAAAGAGAATGATCACCAACTAAAGAAACTCCTGATTGTGAAATAAATTCTCCTTGTTAACACCTTGGGAAACGTATGGAGAAGAGTATGGAGAATATGCATATTGGTGTTAGGGTGTGAAGGGTTGAGAGTCAACAAAACTTGCAGTAAACACAACCACATTATGTAAAGGGCAGGAAAATGGGGGGGTGATCATGACCAAGTTGTGATTGAGTTTAGTTTTGCATCTGAGTGGACCAGTCACAATGGGAAGGAAGGAAATCTCAGATTACTTCCAACACCCAGTAGAAAAATGCTCTTCTTCATTTAGCTCCTTGATCAGCTGAGACAGTTTGGACCACTCTCCTCACTAATTAGATGCAAGACTAGAACCAATTGGGACTTAGTCTCTTCTGCTTTCCTGCAATTAAGGCCCATGTTCATTTTGAGTTCCCATTGCCTCCTTGACAAATTTGCTTTGCTCAGATTGGCCATTGTGATTACAATGATTATGTGGTTTCAGTTCAACAACACTCGACTGAAAAGGACTCATTAATTGATGTTGTACTTTCTACTATCATAGCCTGTTCCAGGTGATCAGTTAGTAAAAATGAAGCTCAATAATGTTGCTGAGGAATGAAAAACATGAGGGAGGCTAAACTGACCCAAACCTCTCTTGCTTTTTCACTCCACTTCTATTGTACCATTTGCCATTATATTCCACTTAACTGACTGAATACCTGGAACATGCTATTTCTATAAGTATCAGCCAATTTGCTCAACAGATAGAATGCCTTGAGGTACATAGGGGTATGGGTTCTCTTCAAAAGGATTTTTGTGTATAACCACACCCAGCTTGTGTACAAGGATATCATCAATGTTTTTCAAGTCTGTTGGGTGCACGTGTATGCATCCATGACTGTTGAAGTAGAAAAATACATAAAAAGGGCAATGAGATTTGAAATGGAACTTGATAAAGTCTTTCTCTATCCAAATAGTCCATCTAAAGGTGAAATCATTGGCAAAATGAAGAAGGGATGGTTTAAATGTCTCTGGAATTTGCAGAGTTTATGTTCCCTACTTTTGCCTCTTTCTCTGAGTTTGGAAGAGATGTAAGAAGACCAAATTTTTTCAAAAATCATTCAAAAGATGGTGAGACAAAGAAGGATAAACATTATGAATTAGTTGATCTTTCATCAAATTCTCATAGCCTCTAAGATAAAAAATGTTGGGAAGACCACTAAGAGAATTGTTTTTCAGATCTTGGAAGTCAAAAGTTTTCATAAAATAGTTGTGGCCTAACCTGTTAGGCATAGGCTCAGATGGATTCCAATGATCCCACTCTCCAGTGTGCATTAAAATTCCACTCCTGTAGTCACTTAGAAAGGTGTCATCTTTGTTTTTACCAATTGCAGCATTTCCTGTTGGCCAAGCCATTAAAAGTCAAGTTTCTAATTAACTTAAAACTTTCCAATCATTATTAAGTTTTAATGAAACATGAACGAGTCAAGCCTGTGATTTCTAAATGGCAGTTGTCTAAACAATATTGAAAAAGTAGTAAAGATGAAAATTTTTCCTCACTCAGTTCTTTAAGGGTTCTAATAGAATTTAAAGCTAATTTAAAGCCTAGCTTTCAGAATTTTGGGAGAAGGGGAAACAAGGATTGACATTGAAGTTATCAAGGGACTTCCCATTTGGAAACTTTTCAAAGTAGCAATTACAAATTATGATTAAAAGTACTAAGATATGGGACGTTGAGTGGAAAAATTTCAAGAAAAATCAAACTTTTAGAAGGAAATGTGGGTGGGATTAGGATGATCTGGTGAAAAAATATTGGAATAATGGAATTTAAGGAGAATGTTAGACCCCTGTGGATCTCAATGCCACACCTCCCCCCCCACCCCCCCACACACCCTTCGTGTAAAAATATATTTTGGTTACCTTTTAGACCTTTGACTGCTCTTATGACAGGATACCTAAACACAAAGGAAATAACATTTTGTTTCATCATAATGACTGATAAAAACAGGTTCACACCTGTGAGCATTTTTTTACCCTTTACACCCTTTAATCAGTTGCAAAATCTCTAAACTGATCTCTATACATTTCCTAAGGTGCTGACAAGGAAAATTTGTTTAAAAATCAAGAGTTTGTTTTATTGGTGACCATTTCCTTTATTCTTGTAACCTAAATGTTTGATTCAGGGGTGATATTGTACCCTAGTCTAAGGGTTTAAAGGTAATGGGGCTTATAGTTGCCAATAATGAAGGATTTTACAAGAACACAAGTAAATTAATTTGAAATGAAAACAAAAAGGTTCACAATGCTAATGTTGACTCCCATTTATTCTATTAAAATAATTTGAAAATATACTTAAGTACTCACGGGCCAAATGATTTTGGGTCTGGCTCAGGACTGTTGAGGTCAAATGTCTATTATTGTAAAAAATAGATAAATATTCACATAATGTCAGACACTGTACTGTAATACTACATTGACAATGATAAAAAAAAAAACTGGGATGGAAAATTTAAATAAGGAATTTGTACCACAAGTCCAGTTGGAGTATTTCCATTCCTTGTAAGCTGATTTATATCTTTGCCAGCAGCATTCATGGCACCATGGCAACGTGCGCGAAATGTGTACAAGACCTGCATTTGAGAAAAAATATTTTTGTTTAGTAATTTAATTTGCAGATTTGTATATTATGGTAATTGATTGAAAACTAAAAATTTCACTAAAAATTTCTCTGTCCAACAAATTAAAGACTATTGACAATCAAAAAGTAACTTTATTAAAAATTACAATCTGTTGATTCTACATCACCTTGTTATTTGAGTCGTAAAGAGTGGCATTTGTTTCAATTGTCCGATCTTTGTACACAGGAACATGAACCTGTATATATCAATTTGAAAATCAGTATGCCTTTCATCTACTACATCTTAAATGGTTTCCAGATCACTATTACATAATATATCATTTTAAAGAGGACTATACAAACACCCTTGATCTTAAACTTAACTTTAGCCATTCGATCAGGGAAGGGTTTTCCTTTGAGTGATAAAGTTGATTTTTTGTTCTACTGTTTACCTTAAATTTATACCCTGAAGGCACAGTGTGATCGTCTCGATATCCGTCATACATCAGTTGCTTGAGAACAAGAGAGGCTGTTGTTGCATTTAATACACCATTGCTGAAGTAAAGGCAATTTTTTACATTCAGTTCTCTGTGGGTTTTATGACTCTGTTCATTAAAACCTTATACATCCAAGACTTGCAAATTGTTTAACTACAAAACGATACAATGGGGTAAGGAGTTGATAAAACCACAGCTTTTTCTCTAGCCTCACATGTTTAATTGATTTACCATCTGCATATCCAAAATATAGTTAGATTTAAGCAGTTATGCATTTAAGTGAAAAAAAAAAATTCTTATCTGAATGTAAGCATAATGTGGATTGTTAAAAAAAAAATTTTTGATATCCATCCCATTACTAGATTTTTGGTTTAGGCCATTTTCTTGTAACTCTGGAAGTCCATTCAGTTTTTTACAAATTTCTTTGAAAAGTCTGACCCCTCTCCCCACCCTACTGTCACTAACCCTAGAATACCCGATTACCTCCCCATAGGGTATCAGGTTAGGGGGCAGGTGTTCACACGAATAACTCACGCAACCATCTGGAGTATGAACCAACTTGATTAGTGCTTCTCTTCCTCTCTTCCAGGATGAGAAGTTAGGGCATTGGCAGTTACCCACAACCATTTTGTTACATTTTCCTCACCAGTATGTGAGTAATTGCATGCATATTTCTTGATTAGCCTATATGCAATGGTCTTATCTATTTCCTTCAAGCCAAGTACAACTGCAGAAAAGCATGGGAAGAAAAAAAGCAGAAGGCAGGGTCAGGAGAGGAAAACTGATTTTTTTTTAGCTTTACTGCCCCTTCCCTCTGAGCATCACCTTTTTCTGCTTGCACATGCTCCAACCCTTGATTGACTGCAGCTTCCTACATACCTACCTCTCCCGATCCCACTTGCTTAAAAGAAAAAGCTGATTCACTAACCATACAGATGTGTATGGATTGCTCATGTTACAATTATACTTGACAAACAGTCAAACTTATCTACTTGCTGCCAAATGTGGCATGATTCTTCTTTATTGAGCTATACCTTGGCAAGCCATTTCCCTTCTGGTAGCTGGCTACAGCCTCACTGGTTTCCCTATCGTACACACCACTTGTGCTGATGGGCCTCACAAATGGTGATCTCGGCAGTAGATTTTGTAGGATCACAACATCTTTTCCTGTTTTAATTTAAAATAATTGCACAGCCAAGGCAGTTGGTATTATCCTTGGAGCATGAACAGTTAAAGGGGAGGGGAGCAGTTGATAAGGGGCGACCAGAAAACCTTGGCTTCAGAGAAGGTTGCATGTTGTGGTAAGCTTTTGAGCCATCTTGTCGGCTTGTTAATCTCCTAGTTTTAAGAGTAACTAGTACTTTGGCAAGTCCTAGATAGTGAAGCTACTTATAAGGTTTGATAAACAGTGCCTAGTAGATTTGCGTCTGGTTTTTCCTTTCCCTAAATGGATGAAAATTGGTTGAATGAGGTATCGAAACACTAGTATCGCACCAGTTAGGATAATGACTGCGAAAAGTCATGCGACAATTGGAGTTCGAAACAAACAAAAAAACAAACAAACAAATAAACGCTCTTAAGACCCGCAGTTTCACATTTCCCGTTACGTTTTGGATATATCGTTCCCCAAAAGGAATTCCCCAACTAAATCAAAATTAAACGTTTTGCGGTCATTCGCATTCCGTGCACAATGTTGATAAAGCGGTGTCCTCACAATTCGACACGGAAGAAAACAATCTTGTCAAAAAATATGGACTCAGATTTCGAGAAGTTAAATTTGGTAGAAGGAAAAGGGAAGACATAGAAATCCACACAAGAAAAAGAGGAACCAACTTTAGTTTTTATTTTATTTAAAGGTTGAAACTAGGACTCTTCGCTAATTTATGTAAAATTTGTTTTGGTTTCCGATTACCTCTCATAACTTTACGAAAAGGCGATTAGAAATCGCTGGAAATATAGCATCAATCATCTTCTTGCTGAACATAGGCTCGAACGCTTTAGAAAAATGCTGATACTAAAGGTATTCAAAAGGCAGTTTCTCCCCTGTATTCTTTCTCCCGTAAAGAAATGGCGCAGTGAATAGATCCCTCCGATTCAATTCTCCTGAATTAATTTCTCAAAAATTTGATCAATATTATCAGTACTTGCAAGATTACCTTCCATTGGCGGGTTCTCCAGACTTAAAACTCTGTAGAACGGTGCTGGAAAACTGTCAACTTTGTTAGACATCTCAGCTACGCTGAACAGAAATGCAAAAGAGAGAGTAAATACATAGCGGTCCAGCATGACGATATGTGCTTGATCGTAGTTGCGACTACGTCCAGTACTATCCCGGAAATGAATAAGTCGTCACATATTGCACAATGCTTTTGTATGTGGTCCACTGGAACGATCTTGCAACCAATCTGTAACGGTAGAGACGCTCTCTGTCGCGCTTGGACGCGAAGTGTCACGCCATAAAATTTAGTCACGCAAGGCTGTGTTGTTTACACGGGCTCTGTCATCGTTATTTTACAACTTTTGTGAGGGGAAAAATGCTTGCATCCATTTCCAATTGCAACATAGAACTACTAGAAAGAGATTTACGGAATGGAAGATGCAAGGAGAAAAGAGACCTTTTTCAAATACAACATAGAATTGTCTTCTTGCGATTGAAAGCTTCATTCATACTTCATGATAAGTGTTTTTGTAAGCACAGTTAGAATCAGTCCTTGAACGTATGAATGCTTCAGATAGTGGTCGGTCGTTTATTTCTTTTTAAAAATTAATGCACTACAAGCATGACACAAAGTGATTCTTTGCTAAAACATCACTGACACATCGCTGCATTTGGATATTACGTCCGATCGGAACTTCATTGGTTTTTTAACTATTGACCACAAGTAATGCGCAAAGTGATTCTTTTCAAAAACACCACCGATACAATGCTGTGTTTGGATATTAGCTCTGAGCAGAATTTATTGACTTCAAGTATTACCCAAAGTCATTATTCGCTGAAACATCACTGACACATTGCTGCCTTTGGATATTAGGTACAATCAAAATACACTTGCACTCAACATTGACATGTTTATTCTGTCATTTTCAGCATTATTTCAAATATTTATCCAGTTAGGTTTTTAGTACCTAATCAAAGACAGATACATATACATTAATCTGACAAAAACTCACAGACAAATGTGGAAGGGAAGATAGGTAGCTGCTTTTTGGAAAAGAAGTGAAATCCAAAAACTGTTTAAAACAGTCTTTATTTCAAGTTATTTCATTCACCAAAATTCAATTCATCAGTTCTATAAATGTATTGAAATGGCTCTTAATTAGCTCTGATATTGCACACATTTCTGGCTGCCAGATTAAACTTTGTTAGGGTTTTGATTTGCTTGCTAAGGGGACTGTGAATGTTGTTACTGAATATTTGACCATCCACTCTGCTGCTCTACAGAATATGTTCAAGGATTCCTTGTCTGATGAGATGTTCACAATGAGATCTTGGCAGGAAATGCTGAGGGAAGGAAACAAAGCTCTATGAGACATGGTTTAATGCTATTCTGGTTTAAAGAGTCAATGAATGTAACCAGGAAAATAAAATTCAAAGACCCAATGTTTCACACTCTTGTCTAGTGCCTTCATTAGGGGTGATCTAATTGCTGCAACAAGGTCTTTCCATATGCTCGCTAATTAGCTGCCTTTTTTCTGACGAGGTATAAAAAGGGCAGCTTATTAGTGAGTGTATAAAAGGACCTCTTGTGGCAGCGATTAGATCACCCCTTATGAAGACACTAGGCAAGAGCTTTGAAACGTTAGGTCTATGGATTGTAACTTCTCAGTCACATTCATTAAATCTTTAAACCAGAGTAGCATCAAACTATGTCTGATTGTCCACCTGGTTGCTTTGTGAACTTAACTGCTCTACAAGTTAATAAAAGAATGGGAATCAAGCAATTCTAAAACAATTGTTTTCTAATCACTAATACCAAAAAATTCAAATTATCACTACTCCCCAGAAAATGTTGTCAATTTTGAAATTGGACTATCACCCAAAAGGAGTGAACAATATTAACTCTTTAACCCCCAACATTGACCAGTATTGAACTTCTCTTTACAGCATCACTATTGTATAAAACATTACTGTCATGAGAATAAAGGAGATGATCACTGAATAAATCAAGCTTGTAAATGATATACAAATTCCTCTGTCAGTACCATGGGAAATTCAGTGAGAACAGTAAGAAGAATATCCATTTTGATGTTGAGCTATTAAGGGTTAAGTACCCTTATTTAGTAAAATTCCTCCTACCTGACTATTCTTTTTCAATAACAAAACTGTTCCATCTTCTGTTTCAAATTCTCCATAATCTTCCAGACATCGCACCTGCATTGCAGAATTCAAATCATTATTTTTTAACTATGTGATAAGCTTAGACTTTTACAAGAACCTCCTAAGTTATGAGAAACAGTTAACTTTGGATAAGAAAATAAGGCATACCTCTATGTAAAGTGACTTTGGTGGCTTCATGTCCTGTCAGTTAAGAATTCAAAATGAGATGCATCTGTCAGCTTTCTTAAAAATTCTTACACAGATCTCAAAAGAACAAACAAGTGCCAGGACAGACCTCTGAGAGCCATGTTCTGTTCCTCCCTTAACCCTTTCACTCCCAAGATCTCATTAGTAATTCTCCTTACTGTCTGTCATACAGTTCTTGTGATGTTAGTTCAGAGAATTTGGTATAGGATCAACTAATAATCCCTTGACTGATATGTTTTTTTGTTCTCATTACTTGTATACTTGATATTGTATTGATATTGCAAGGAGAAATTCTGTCTTGGTCACTCATGGGAGTTAAAGGGTTAGGACCTTTAGGGGTCTTTTTCCACTCTTTAGAAATCTTATCTTTCACAAATATGACTAGGCAGTAGGCAGGAGCTTATCCAGGTTTCCATAGCATAAAGCAATTAGGAGTATTATTACTCCCCCCTGGACAGGATGCCAGTCCATAGCAAGGTTATCCCCCAGCATTTAATCACGTTTCCCTGACAAATGGCTGCTACCCATCTAAGCTCCTGGGTGGAATGACACTGTGCTCTTTGCATAACAATTTGTCTTAATTCTATCACTCTTTACTGTTGTCTCCTTAACCCTCTTTGTATTCAAATTAGTAATGATGATGACAATGAAAGTTTAGTTATGTTACAAAGGAAGGAAAGTCTCGTTACCTGTGTCAGGTCCAAACCAACTGTCCTCATGTACGTTGCCAGTGATTTATTGTACTTTGTAAACCACTGAACCTATAGTAAATTTTAACAAATTTAATTATAAAGGTAATGACATGATTCTGAGTGCAGTTTGGTATAAATAAGCATAAGTAAATTTTTTAAGACAACAAAATTGCACAAGCCTGCAAGACAAGTGCAATTTGCAGTCTTTAAAAAATGTATGAGCCCTCATTACACCAAATTGTACTCAAAATCATGTTATTTATTAATAATATACATTAAAAAAACAATGCAGAAAGTCAAGACAAATGAAATTGAAAGTGTAATTTGCACTTGTGTTACAACTTTGCACATGTTACATGAGAATGTACTCGTTTTTTAGCCAATCAGAAGAGTGCAATTTTTTCATGTACAGTATTAGTTGAAATACAAAAAAAGAAGGAATATCAAAACAGTAAAATTCATCCCTGTGTAAATATCTCAATCAGAAGTATCAAAAAATTTTCAAATTGTTTATTTATGTAGTGCTTAAAAAGTTGGCTACAGAAATAAAGTGGAAATACATGCTACATCTATAGCTGTAAGCACCTGTAGTTGCTATTATCAAATTAAGTTTACCAACCTCTTGTTCACATAAATTATATTTGATGTCTTCAGGTAAAACAGTTCCAAACTCCCACCTGAGGTCCTTCATCCTCAACATCCTATTATAGCTAAATAATTACACAAAGAAGTATACAGAGTACAAAAAATTAGCTTAAGCTTTTGCATACATTAATTAGATCTTGATGATATTATTATAATGTTGTTGAAAAGAGTTTCAGAAATCATCAAGCTTTTAATATGAACTCATAAACTTGAGCAGTAAAATCTCTGTTTCAGTTTCAGGGTAATAGACATTTCACTAAAAAAAAAGCCTCTTTGAAAGGTAATGGTTAGATTTATCTTTATCAAAACCATCCAGTCATGTCATAGATCTCAAAATACCCCATAAGTTACCCCTGGATTTTCCCTGAAAAAAATACAACAAAATTACCCAGAAACACTGAATGAACTTGATTAATCTGGATAATATTTTTATATCTTAACTTACATGTAAGAAAGAAGACATCTTTTATTTCTCTCTAAACTTGCATGCCTTAGATGAACTCCAGAAAACAAACCAGTTTCTCCCTCAACTGTTAGTGCACTAAACAAAGGAAAAGGAAATGAAATAATTAATTAGTGTAAGCAAATTAATAGATACATGTTAACCTGATTAACTAGTTGCTTATTAACCCTTTTACTTGCATGAGTGACCATGAGAGAATTTCTCCTTACACAATCAATAAATGTTAAGGAGATAAGTAGTGAGAATAGAGAACTAGATAAATTAGGGGATTATTAGTTGATCCAATAACACATTCTCAGAATTAACATCACAAGAATTATATAGTAGACAGTAAGGAGAATTACTAATGAGATCTTGGGAGTACAAAGGGTTGTGTCATAGTCTACATTACTCTGAATTAATGAAAATATAACCAACTATCCTTCATACAAATTGAAAGAAAAGGTAATAATAACAATCAAAGAGAGTTGTTTCTCAAAACAACAATACCTAATCTGAGAACGCTTCATCACCCTGAATTCCCATTTTCAAAAATCAGGTTCTTCTGAGTAGATTGATTTATTAACAATTAGTAACAATCTCATATGTGTCAAATTTAGAATTTTCCAAATTTGTGATTCTTAACATGGGGTAGTTTTCAGAGGATTGTTCAGGTATTACTCACACTTCTCTTTGGTTCTGCTCAAACAAAATCTTCATTTCCTCAAGGACTTGCCTAATCAAATCCTCCTTTGATACACAAAATAAAATAAAATCAATCATTTCAATTTCATGAAATTATTTGTATAAAGAAAAGAAAGAGAGCACCAAAAAATTTATTGTGACGAGCTAGGTAAGGTGGACCAAAATATAGTTTAATTGACAAAAACGATCTTAAAGATTAAAATTTGTTGGAAGAAATGAGCATGAGGTATTGAATGAGAGGAAAAATCGATACAGATATCGGCAGTTTAAAGATACCATCTCAATAAGATTCTCACAGCCAGTCACTCAAAATGATTTGCATGTTGATATGACTGTACTGTTTGAGAGAATGTTGTAACATTTCACTGCTGCACATCGACTTGTCTCACATCATTCGAACATAACATGTAAAAATTCCGAGCAAAAAACACAACGCTTAGCTTTAAAGCTACTTTAAAGTCTCGATGAATGGTAGGAAGTTCTGTGCGTATTTTTTCCCGCCAATTTACGAATAAACAGAAGTAAACAATATCTCACGTTGTAAGGTGGTACAGTCCCTTCCATGGCTCTTTTAAGTTCCTTCACAAGCTCAAGTGCTTTATCACCAAACATCTTGCCAAAGATCTCTCCAAAATGTCCAAAATTTCACTGAATAAACCTTTGTAATACAAATCTTTAACTCATGTCCGCCGCTCTGTCCGCCATATTGTTTCCATACCAGTCCCCCGTCGGAAATGTGATCTAAACCAATCATGGACCTTGAAAAGGAACTGCTTTTAGGTAGAACACCCCATAATTATTCTTAATTGCTACATTACAAACTTGATCGAGAGCTACACAACTTTAGCCATTACTTGGTGAGTGTTTGCCGACTGTACGCAAATATTAAGCTTATAAAATCATTGAATAAGTCATTTGACTTCATTTTTTAACGTAGCTTTTGCCTTTTTCAGCTTTCCGGAGGCAACACTTCAAGATCAGATGTAAATGGAGCCGTTTCTATGCCGAAGACGACGCGAGCTCTCTGAACCACGGACCTACAAGTTAAAACATAGGTGAGCTTACTATAAGCTTTAATTCAAGCTTAAATGCGTGTCTTTTACCATTGTTAACGTGTATTTCCCGCCTAGATTATATGAAAGCGCGCAGATGGCTTAACGTCTGCTTACTTCTATCGTTGGACGTGGAAACCCTCTAATTTTTTTGTTTGACGTTTTCCTTGTTGTCTTGTGAAATTTCCACGGTATAGAAAGGTAATTTAGTGTTAACAACTGAGTTTAAAACGTAAATTGGCCATCGTAAAAATGACAAAATTCCTCAATGTGATTAACACAATAACCTTGACATGTCAAGTTACGGTAATTCTTAGTGTTAAACATGAGAAAATCGTGTAAAAATCAAGTATGCTTCAAAAGACTAAAGTTCATTAGCAAATTATGCAAGTGTCTGGCAACAATGTCAAGACCTTTCTAGCCACACTTTCAAATTTTAAATATGGCATCAAAATCTCTCAAAGAAAATAGCAACAACCCAAATAGTTTATTCACATCATAACCAAGCTCATTTTACAGTAGAAAATAAAACTAAATGAAATTTTAAGTGATAAAAAATTAGAAAACAAACAAACAGCAGTTTATCTATATATTAATTAGAGTGTCCCTGATCAGACATCTTCTTATAACAGAGATAACTGTCAATGTCTTTATGACAGTCATATCACAGCTGTTCTTGTTGTGTTTTCTGGTCTTTTTCATTTTTACTGGATCTAGGGTAAGCTTGTTTCCAATCCCTCTTCCATTGCATCTATCTAATCCTTGTGGTAAAAGGCAGTGCTGCACAAGATGTACTCCAAATTTTTTGTGGATGCAGACTGCAACCACAGTGAAAGGAGGATGTCCTCTTTCGTGTGTTCCCCTGATGGCATGTATGTAGTAGATGCATCCAAAGATGTACTGGATGGTGGAGCTGGTTGTTGAACCTCATAGGTTTTGACAAGAGGGCTAGCTGATTCTGTGGGACCACAAATTACTGTAATTAGGGTGTCAAACCATTCCATCATTTCTTCCTGTTGCTATGCAACACAACTACACAACTACACTTATTTTTGGTGGCAGTGGTGTTTGTGACAAAGGTGCTGAAGATGGTGCCCTAGGTGGTGTTGATGGCACAGAGGACAATAGTGATAGAGTCAATTGTGGAAAAGACATTTGTGGTGTTGGTGTTGGTGTTGGTGTTGGTGTTGGTTAAAGTAGCAGCAAAACGGGTTTTAGAGGAGCATAATGAGAAAGACTTTATTCATTTAAGGCCAAATGTCCACTTCCATTAAGGGCCTTAGGGTCATCTCCATTAATAAGAAAAGGTATGTTGTTAATGAAATATACATACATACAAATATATGTAAAGATTAATGTTAAATAAGAAATTACATGCTCAATTTTGTTTCTTTGACCCTTCCTACAATATGCAATCAAGGCACAACCTCCTTGTTCCTTTGCTAATTAGCATCCTCTTGCAATTTTAAGTAGAAATCAAACCACAAAACTTTTTTTTATCTACATATGCTTTTAACAACTTACAATACAAAAATAAAAAAAAAACTAAATGATGCTAATAAAAATAGTTTAAAATTTGGTATGGAATAGATTAATCACAGTACATAAGTTATATTAAACCAACTTTGTACTTGCACTACTATTAATACATTACTTACACCAGAGTAAATAAAGTGCAATTGGGATTGCAATGCTCTCTGTCTATTAGGTTTGTGGCTATTTGTTTTTATTTGTAAGAAAACAATGATTATAATTATATTTTTAATCACCATCTTACTTACTCATTGTCATACGGACACTTACTTACACTTCTAAATTACAGTAGTACAGTATAAACTAGTAGAGTTTTAATAGAACAGTTAACAAATGTGTAAGCTGATAAATAAAAAAAAGTTGAAATCGGTTTACAAAGTTTATTCTACCATGACAAATTTGGGAGGTCTCACCCTATTAACCACACCTGGTAAATTAAAATATTAACTGTTCAAGTCTGATGCCTCATCTTCAGATTTTGAACTGCAATTCTATAACATTTGATGATATCAAATAAATAACAGCCCATAAGTATGTACAAAAATTATATTGATAGTCAAAAGAAGTGCAGAAACCTCTCTAAAACAAGTTACTTGAATATGAGATAACTCTTAAAACTACAAAAGGCCTTCTCTCTTTGAAAGGGCGATGGGTTGATTTACAATTTGGTTAAAATTCTTTTTTCAATACTTTGCCAGAAGTGTGAAACTACTTGAACTGGTTCGCTTCAATGGAAAAAAAAATTACTGAAAACATGACCAATGAAAAAAAAAAAATTGATAATCTATCAAGCAACCTGTAGTGTATACACTCATCTGCTCCACTTAAAATCTCCAAGGACACTTCAAGTGATCAAAACATACAGAAGCATGCAGAGAATTTAGGATCAAAAGTAACCAATCATCGAATAAAAAAGTTTCAGTGTGAAAGTTACACGTTAAATAGTCAAGAAAAGGCCCGACCCTATGTAGACAATAATGTCAAGATCTTTCTAGCCACGCTTTCAAAGTTTGAATATGGCATCAAAATATCTCAGAGAAGATAGCATCAACCCAAATAGTTTATTCCCATCATAACCTAGCTCATTTTAAAGTAGAAAATCAAACTAAATGACATTTTTAACTATGAAAAAATTAGAACACAAACAAACAGCAGTTTATCTATATACTAATTAGGGTGTCCCTGATCCTACATATTCCTATGACAGAGATAACTGTCAATGGCTTTATGACAGTCACATCACAGCTGTTCCAGTTGTGTTAGCTACAAAGGAAATGCTTTAAATATTATTTTCTGGTCTTTTCCATTCCATAAGTTATATTAAACCAACTTTTGTACTTGCACTACTATTAATACATTACTTACATCGGAGTACATAAAGTGCAATTATGATTGCAATGCTCTCTGTCTATTAGGTTTGTGGCTATTTGTATTTATTTGTAAGAAAAGAAAACGGTGATTTTAATTAGATTTTTAGTCACCATCTTACTTACTCATTGTGGTACGTACACTTACTTACACTTCTAAATTACAGTAATAAACAAATCACATATCCTCAATGGAGTAAGGGGGCAATTGAAGCACAATAAGGAACAGAAATAAACTGGAAGAGTTTTAATAGAATAGTTAACAAATATGTAAGTTGATAAATCAAAAATGTCAAATTTGGCACAATTGCTACACAGATCAAAAGCATTTCTAACATGAGGAAAGTTACATTTTGATTCTAAAGTTGTGAAAAAATCCTTAAAACCGGGAATGAAAATGCTAACAAAATTAGAGGTCTTAAGTGTTATGTTTTCTTTTAGCTGCAACAAGTGGAAATCTTTGTGAGGTTTCCTTGCCTCCTCTTCCCATTCCCTTCGCCTGTGGGATTAATTTTTTTTTAAACTCTCATTTCTTTTCTGTTATTTAATTTTTGTGTGTGCTGAGATCCACTGATTTCATAAATCTTGCCTTTGAAAAGGTTGACAGGTGTTCTTAAGGTGGCCAAGAACGTACCTATGGAAATATGCTACATTAATTTCATGTCACTTGATATTCTATGGTTGGTTCAAGACATGGTGTTGAATTTTTGTTCAGTGTGAAAAGGAAGTGAAAAATAGTTTAATTTGAGATAGGGTAAGGATTTTGTTTAGGGTACTCCATACCCTCACCTTGAGGCAGTGTCTCTGATAAATTGATACATTTTGATTGATATTGAAAAGGCCACACCCCTTTTCCAAGGCTTCCAAGTTGTGTCTAACAATTAGGGCTAAATATATCACCACACAAAGTTGAAATTGGTTTACAAAGTTTATTCTACAATGACAAATGTGGTGGGTTTCACTCTCCTAACAACAACTGGTAAATTAAATTATCAACTGTTCAAGTCTGATGCCTCATCTTCAGATTTTGAACTGCAAAAAAACCTACAAAAGGCCTTCTGACTTTTAAAGCTTGATGAGATGATTTAAAATTTGGTTTCAGTTCTTTTTTCGATATTTTTCCAGAAGTGTGAAACTACTTGAACTGGTTCGCTTCAATGGAAAAAAAAATTACTGAAAACATGACCAATGAAAAAAGAAAACCTGATAATCCATCAAGCAACCTGTAGTCTATACACTCATCTGCTCCACTTAAAATCTCCAACGACACCTCAAGCAATCAAAACATACAGAAGCATGCAGAGAATTTAGGATCGAAAGCAACCAATCATTGAATAAAAAAGTTTCAGTATGAAAGTTAGACATTAAATAGTGAAGAAAAGGCCTGACCTTATGTAGACAATAATGTCAAGATCTTTCTAGCCACGCTTTCAAAGTTTGAATATGGCATCAAAATATCTCAAAGAAAATAGTGACGAGCCAAATAGTTTATTCACATCATAACCTAGCTCATTTTATCGTAGAAAATCAAACTAAATGAAATTTTTAATGATTAAAAAATTAGAACACAAACACAGAGCAGTTTATATATTTTCTAATTAAGGTGTATTTGTTCAGGCATCTTCCTATTACAGAGGTAACTGTCAATGGCTTTATGTTG